TGATCATCATTTCATAAGTAGTTCACATCAGTGAAAACCAATATGAACAAAATTCAATTACAAGATATTTCACTTAAAGCCGATTAAGTCTAACCTTGCCCTTTATTTTACACTGATTATAAAATAGTGCTATTTAAGTTACAAAAACTGAAAAAAAACAGGATGTTTATATACAGAGTATATCTAGTGCTAGTATCATTCAACAATGCGAGTTTTTAAAGTGATCAGTTAATCCATAAAATTTAGTGATGACAATTTCTAAGTCTAAAAATATTTCAAACTTACCGATCTTCAGTGATGTAAATAAATGAAAAGGATTTAACTGTGGGCTTAGCAATATCGAATAAATTCAAATCGAATCACTATATTCTTGTTTACACAGGATTTTTTTCCATATTTTCAATATCTCAGATGCATTTTAAAATTAACAAGCAGTTGTTTTTATGTAAATGTAGATGTCTGTTAACAAAAAAAACTACACGTGATTTGATACGGTGTTTTGCATGATGTTATTAATTTACATAACATAAATCATTTTCTTTTATAGTTAGCAGAATTGCTTATCAATGATTGAACTGCAATCTATCAGGCTTTTATATTAAATGATGCTTGCAGCAGGATTCAAAACAATTATCTGGCAGTCACAGTCTACGTTTTTATTTATCAGTCTTTAAAGTGTGTGTGAATTTTACAATAAAGAGTAAATTAAATCACATCAGTTGATGAGTAATTTTCAAATCTATTTTCTCGCTGTTGATGTTGATGTTGCAAATTAAATCTACTCACTGTGGTTTCAAATTCTAGTGAGCTACCTGTTACACCTTTGAGACAAAATTACGATATCATATTTGATGGTTATAATGTTTGTTCGATTGAGAAGCCTATATACCAGTTAAACCAATTTTGAAAATCATCATGAGTATCAACAACATGAACTAATTGATTTGTAAAAGTGACGAAACAGTCTATCATTCCTGAAAGTACTAATCACCAGAACTGACACAGGAAAACTGGAGACTCAAGTATTTCGGCAGCCATCTCACATAGACCTGATTCTCAACTACATCACTCGATGAGTGATTTTAAAAACTATTTTCTAGCTGTTGATTTTGCAAATCAAAGCTACTCACTGTGGTTTCAAATTCAAGTGAGCTACCTGTTACATCTTTGAGACACAAAGCAGCAACAACCCAAGAACTCACATAATCAACTGCGTACAAACGTTGTTTCAGAGAGTGAAAGCACTTTGCAGAACACTTGAAGCGCAAAGAAACGAAGGAAAATATTTGATGACTATCTTCGAAAGAATGGCTATCTACGCAACTTCGTCAAAAAAACATCAACTGAAATCTTCAACAGAAGCGAAATCAAGTACAGGAACCAATAAACGGATCATCCTACCATACATAAAAGACATACCGGAATATACAGCACGACTACTGAAACCATTTGGAATTGATGTGGCACACAAACCAACAGAATCACTTCAATCAATCCTTTGTAGACCAAAGAACAAAATAACAAATGAAGAAAAACCAAGTATCATCTACAAAATAAATTGCTCAGACTGTGAAAAACACTACATAGGACAAAGTGGATGGCCTCTTCAGCTCCGTTTATACATGAACACTAATTAGCAGTCAAACGCCACGACAATTCTTCGCTTACATCAATACACACTGACAATTATGGACATACATTCGATTGGAACAATGTGGAAATACTGGGTAGGGGGAGGACAAAGAACACTAGATAATTTTTAGAAGCTTGGAACTCAGGTCAATCAACAATCAACAAACACATCAATATTGATCCAATTTATCAACCAGTCAGAAAAACTATAGGCAAACACAGGATCAAAAAACAGATCACAGGGGGTTATAATCAAAACAAAAGTGCAAACAACGACAGGTCTAAGGTCAGCAGCGACCAATCAAGACCGAGGTTATCAGAACAAGCTACGGGTCAAACGTGGAGAAATCCTAATACTTCTCTGAAGTTTGTGCTGATGATATTGTTCAGAAGAACTATGAAAGCTCCACAACATAAACACCATCACAATCATGAAACTCATTACAAACCAAATCAAAAAGTTTTAAAGTAGTTTATAAAGTATTTTCAAACTCTTCTACAAACTATAAAACGTCGGAAGTTTGTATTTTACTCTAAACTATGGACAGTTTATTTACTATTACTAAATTTTAAAATGTCCAAACATAATACGATTCTTTGGATTTGGCCACAATTTCACAAAGATTAGGGCCATTTTTTGTTATTGGCATAATCTATTTAAAAATTGCCTTGTCATCACTGTTATTATGTAATAACAATAATTGTTTGAGTAAGATCAATCAAGCTCTCTAATGACAAATCCACTACAAAGAAAAATAATTATTTCACAGGTTTGTTTTCTTACCACTGTAAACTGATCTCGTTTGTATTTTCAACCTAAATCAATTCGTGATTATAAAAGGGATTTTCATAGAACAATGAGAAAATGAAGTTGATCTAAAAAATGTAATGTGGAGAAAATTTCATGGTCCAATGTCTGTGAAACCGTTTTCAGCCCATTTTTTCAATTATTATTCGATTTAACTAAAGATTCTTCTCATTTTAATTTAATTTACAAACAAAATAAAGTCATTTTCACTTAGCAGAGAGTTCTCTGGCTTTTTCTGTCAGTTAAACAAAATACAGTGAAAATTTTCTTTACTCAAAATTATATCATCATGTGAGTGAATTGTAGTGAATTGTAGCTATGTACCACAAAATAACTAAGTTAATTCCCTTGACAGCCAGAAATCGGAAGACCGGTCGTAATTGGAGTTAGAGGTATATCTGTTAGTGATCTCGAGATATCGAAAGAATATCAAGACCCAAAAAAAATGTTTTAGGCTAGACTACCAGGGCAACGTAAGCAATGTCAGGGTCACATGATCAAAAAGATAATGGTTTTTGATACAGATAAACAAAGGGGTACACTAAAACCATCACTGGTACAATATGTTTACGTTCAACCAATCGTGTTCTCTTCATAAAAGTAGAGTCACTACAGAATAATAAATCCTGGATTATTTCAACTTTTTTTTCCATTAGGATTAATAAAAATATTTCTTTTGTGTCTTTTCTTTATGTAAAATTATCTATATTTGTTTATTTAAACTTTTGTTCATCCGACTTTTAATAACTTTCATTTAAATGCCTTGATAAGTTTTTGTTTAACCAGATTATTCAAAAAGTATAGCGCAAACACCTTACATTTTTCAGATCAACTCCGTTTAAATATTGTTCTATTAAAATTATCCAGATTTTATGTTTGCGCTCACTGGTATCTTATAGTTCATAAAACGAAAATATCGTTTTTGTTGGGGATGTTAGATCCCCAGAACTCGCTTGATAAGTGTCTTTATTTTGAATTTATTTCAAAGGCTGATCAGATGACCCTGACATTACATTTCCCATCAGGAAAAGACTTCGTTCTGATTGGTTACAGCGTTATTTTAGTGTGATATTTTGTGACCCTTCCAAAGACGTTTCTACGGTGTATAAATAAATGCGATTTGTGTGCTTGATGGGTGTTTGTAGAATACACTTTCTACGCTATATCAAGACTTCTCGTTAGCACCTTTGAGTCAAAGTATCAGAGTAGTCTACTTGGACGCTGGTTTATTGTCTTGTTCCCGTTTTATCGACTAAGATGAATCCATGATAGTTTTAAGCATACCTAGAGACGAGTGTAACTGTTTTATAAACCATTAGTACTCAATAAACAATGAAATTTGTTTGTAAAGCTACAAAAATCGGTGATAACATGTATTTACATTAGCAAATTATTTGAATCAGCAATTTCATTGAACATTATCAGCATATGCAATTACCAGTGAAGTATACCAATTCCAATGAATACACATCACTTAAGTGTCACTGTGTCGAAATCAATAGGATACTGAATATAAGTTTAACTCTCATACTTAACTAACAAATTTCTCAACGTTATATCCTCACGTTTGATAATTATTTACCTAATAGTTGACTGACAAATGAATATATTTAGAAATGATTTTGATTTTCGTGCATTTTTTGTCAATAAATTTCTAACTGGAATGCCAAGAACAATTCTGATAGAAATGTTTTGAGAAAGAGTCGCTGAAAAATGTGAAACGACTATTTGCATTTTACTATTCAGTGTTTCAAAAGTTGCAGTTTATGTCGATTTCTGAATGAAAATGAATGTAACTTGAGATAAACTACCTTCTTTATGCTGATGAGTGAATTTTAAAATGTATGGTGCTATGTAAATAAATGTGAATTATGATAGTTTCTTTGTGTTATGGTATGATAAATAACTTACTGGTCATCATAATTATTTCCGGAAAAAACAGAAAGTGATGTTGATTAATTTTGTTGTTTATAAGTCAAGGATGAGATTTCGCTAGTAGTCAAAAGCTTATTGAATATCACGATTCCCTCATATTAAAACAAAGAATTTTACTACATTGAGAAAAATATCTGATTAGATGGTTTCGAAATTATTAGCAAAAATGTTTTCAGTTTTTAGTGAATTTGGTTCATAGACAAAATTGACACAACTTTCGATCTAATTTGAACTCATCATCTGAAACAAACTGTATTTCAGTGCTGATGTTCAAACTAAGACTCAAATCTGGTGCATTTTATTTCAAAATGCAAAATGTTATCCGCCTAAGTCATGGTGTGCAGATAACCACTCTAATATTATGAATTATTTATGAAAGTATATATTTTGTCTTGGTTGATATTCATAACTTCAGATAATCACTCTCTGTTGTTACGTTCGTATCTTGAGCGGATATTCTCGAAAGTGCTTTCTAATTAAAGGTTTGTAACATATCGGAGTGATATGTTTGCAGTACATAAAATAACACCATCTGAACAATTAGAAATTTATTTAAAAAATGTATACTACTTAAATTTAATGAAAAGTAGACAAAATATTAAGATAAAATTACATTCGCTGAAGTAATTACTACAAGTTCATTTATTATTAAAATATGAAAGTTAACATTATTCATTATAACTCCAAATCTAATAATAATTCATTCAAACTCTGATTAATCCGAGCAATAATTTTTCTCATTACATGTACATAAATTATTTTAGTTTGATTCACTTGTTGTGGCGCATCGAAATTTATCGGATATAATAAACATGGAAGTGTCAGTTGTAGTTGTTGCCATTTAACACATTTTCGACATGATCGTTCAGTGTTCCATTCATCATCTTCAATGTTTGTTTGAGTTGTAACTGATGAATGATTGTTTGCAACATAAATATCTGATAGTAATGGATCAATTAAATGATCAATAATTTGTTTATCATGCAATGAATCAGTTGTATTGTCATCATTAATAAGATCTTGATGATGATCATCATCATGGTCGTGACCATTTAAATTCTGAGGAAGAGATCTACTGATATTGGTAAGAGCAGATTGAAGTGAATTACTGTTTGACATATCTTCAGTAACTCGGTTTGTGTCATTGTGAAATGTTCTATTGTAATCTAATGAAATTAAAGTGTGATAGAATTACGTTCAAATATAAAATTTTAGTGAAATAATAAAATGGGGGCTAGCTTTAAGACATTTTATTTAACTGATATGTAAGCAGAAATCCTTTGTGTATCATTGAATTTCCGAGACTTGTTTGATTTTATTTTCTCTTTAAACCATTGTTCACGCGAAATAGACACATAATCTATTGTCTTTGTGTTATTCAAAACTAAACGTAATGAAGCCCATCCGTCTCATTTGTAGTGCATACCAGTTTTCTACTTGCAGCTTTAAAAAGCAGATATTAGTCAACTTTTCTGCTTGACCTTAAAAAGTTAAGTAAAAAGTGATAAACCTCTCCTCAATTGCTTTTGTTCGTTATCTGACTTTACAAATAACCTTGGCTTGGTTGAATGCAAAGAAAATTGAATACTTTGCATTTGTCGAGTGAAATATTTAAATGAGGCGAAATTCTTTAGAGTTACTGAAAGACAATTTGTGTTTTTTCAAGCTAGATAAAATCAAATAAATAGAAACTGACGACTTATATTACTTACTGCTAAGCAACCTCTTAAACAAAATTAGGATTCTTTGCATAACACAGAGGTAACAAAGACTGTACCCCGAAAAAGTCTCAGATTCATTTTTGATAGTTCATAGATCCATAATTATGGTACATTACAAGTCTTTGTTTGTAAACGAAGTTAAGAATTCAATACGTAGATGATAAGTAATGCTCAAGTATACATTCACATACAAGCTCAACAATGATAAAATTACAAAATATCTGTGAGGCGCTACACTTGACGATTATCTCTAAATACATTTCTCATTGAAAATTATCCTTGCATCGGTCTCCTGAGTTTATAGAAATTTAGGAATAAAGAGTTTCATCACCTTTTTGAGAAGTATCTTCAGTTGTTTTCTCCATGACAGTAGTATCTTCTTCATAATATTCAGTTTCATGTCCTCCCCAGTTGACTATACCTTCATGTTGATGATCTAAAGCTAAAGAAGTATCGATAATTTTTCAGTGGATTCGTTACATAAGCACAAAGTTTCAAAGTCATCCGGCTATACTTGCAATAGAAAGGTAGTTAAGTCCTAAACTATTGATCTGGACTACACGACCTTGAATTTAAATGGTATTCGTGATTATCTTTGTGAAAACACACAAGTTTAGTCGAATAACATTTTCGGTAACTATCATAATTAAAGTGATAGATGAATTCGACTCCACCGCCAACTATACTGATATACTGATATACTTAGACCACGAGTTAAATCACTTACATATTTATCAGTATTGAAAATATTTCAGCTAACATTCCGACACTGGTAAGTCAATGCAACAATAGCTACCAAGCTAAGTATTATTACTGATGAGTTTACCGTCCTGTGTTTCTCGTCTTTTGAAGATTTTCTATAGCATCGTATTGCGTACTAATTGTTTTATGCCTTCGAATGGTTGTAATTAAGCAAGTTTTGGATATTGTTCATTGAGAATTCAGTCTCACACAGGTCAAACGGACTCTTAAATTCCATTTTCAGATAATAAGCAGTTGTATTATCATATAAGAACGAAGCACTGGTGTATGATAAACTATTTGAAAACTGGAGACTAATAAATTGCGTTCATCCATGTGTTCAATTTTATTTCTGTTATTTAAATCACTTAAATGAACAATTTTGATGTTTTTCCAATATCAAAAACTAAATCACAAGTTTTTTTTTTACCTATTTCCAAAGTAAATAGAAAATACTGAATAAAGATTCATCTATGTGGTTGTACTGAATGGTTTCTGATGTTTATTCGAAGAAGAATAATGATCTTTCTAACATTAGTGTTATAGGCTTTATATATATCACTCCTACGTGAAATGCAGAAATCTAACGATATAGACGTATACAGTTTTTTAGTCAGTCAAACTCTTCAGCTGGCATTTCCCTACTTAAATTAGTTGAGTGACAATCAATGTCTAACATGAAATTATATCACTGAGTAGAAATCAACCACTTACTTTCTACGACAGATTGTTCGGTTTGTGTATGCTCTTCCTTATCTTCTTTCTCCATCTTATGTTCTTCACTGGTTTTTGCTTCAGTAGTTTCATGATAATCTTCACTGTTTGAAGTTAAATGTTCAGAATTCGGACGATAAGGATCTCCTTCACCCCATCGAGCCACTCCGTCATGATAATGATTATTGTCTACACAAAGCAAATGTAAACACTGAACTTAATATAATGCAGCTCTCTATAGAAAACAAAATTGTTTTGGGAGATTTAAAAATTCTTTTCAAAAGTCTTGGCATACTTTACAATGAATTCATTTGTATTGGTTGTGTTAAATCTTCCCAATGATATTTAAGACTGAGATGCTAGTACATCTAGCTGACGAATCATAAATAGGACGAAACGCCAACCACTGTCCACGTCTGCCATCAAGACGTAGGAATTGGCAATAAGGTTTTTAATTAATTGTACTTAAAACTAAAACTTTGATTTGACGTTCAGAGTAAAAACTACTCGTCATTATGAAATATTTCTCTACTTAATGTGATATTTAGGGGCAGAGTTTTGGAGGTTTGTGTTTTTACACATTTGAAGTCATCAATCAATCATTGTTAGACCACTATTAGAAACCTGGAAGCACTGGACGGCCGTTTCTTCCTGGTATGGGACTCATCAGCAGTGCATATCCATGACTCCTGCAACTCGCAGGATTCGAACCCGGGACGCGCAAAATCCCTAGATCAATCAGAGTTAGACATTAACACCGCTGGATGCCGGCCCAGTGTTCCAATGGTTAGGCGTTCGCGCACAATACCGAATGTCTCGGGTTCGAATCCTTCGAGGAGCAGGAGTCGTGGATGCGCACTGCTGATGAGTCCCATACCAGGAAGAAACGGCCGTCCAGTGCTTCCAGGTTTCTAATGGTGGTCTAACAATGATTGATTGATGATTTCTAATGTGATATTAATAATTAATAGATAATCTCACTTGAAGTTTATTTTATTTTAACCAGTTTCTGTCAAATTGTAGACAAAATGTCTATCACATTACAATGTACTTGTCAGTTAAACTGTAGTTACCATTAGAATAAAACCTACTTCATCAATACTAAATAAAATAAGCTTTATTTTCGGAACCATTATGTTTTGCTATTGATTATTTGAAACCAGGTCATATCTTGCCACTGTGTAAAAGTCTTACAAAGCTTTCGAATTTGTGGTTTTGAAATGTTTTTATTAATAATTTTAAACGTTCATAAACGATTTGTTATTTTTACTTTACTCATTCTCATATAACAAAACATTGATCACTTTGATTTTTTTTTTCACAATGCAAACTAAACCCTGCTTATTGATAAAGCTAATATTGTTCACAACTGAAAAAAGAATCATGTGGACAAAAAGCAAGAAAGCAAAAGTAACCTTTTGAATCCATCTTACCTAAAGATTTAGTAGAATTACTTTCATTGATCAATTCACCAGTGTTCGAAATTTCCTCACCACTGATATCATCGTATTGTCTAAGCAATTTATCATTTTTGTGATGTCCTATAGTGGAGAAAGATTTTCAGTTAGATAGTAAATATTAGATATTTTGATATTTTACCGAGAAAAGTTTATTACTAAGAGTTTGTATCTTTTTTATTAAAAAAAAGAAGTTTAATAAATCTAGCTGGTTTGTATTTTACCGTATACTATTAGTCAATATTGAAGTTGTCCACTTTACATTGATTTTATATGTCCCTTGAACAAGTGTATATCTTGATTTATCAGTTAATTATAAAGTAACATTGTGTTCAAAGTTTTCACTTCCTTACTTAAACATTAGTACTTTGATAGAGATAGATTTAACTGACGAGTAGTCATTGAGATGATACGTGACAACTGGAATGTACTATTAGATACTTTCAGTGGTAGATACTACTCAAATGTAAAGTTACTTGATTTTAGTAAGTTCATTTACTTAGTTATACAGTGATTTCTAACATATTTCGTTTATGACAATACCACCCAAATGTAGGAATAATAATAGAGGTAGTGAAAATTATCGCTAAATAATTGAATTGCGTTTTTTTATATCCAAGATCTAAATATCAGTTGATCTGATATATTTGTAATGACATTTAAGGAGTACGATTTCCGGCATTATTCAGTTTAGTGGATATTTTTAAGAGTAATCAACTAAAGCAATGCACAATAAAATCGATAACAGCTTCGGCACACTTTTTTACAATAATGTAATAGGAAAAATACGTCTTTCATGAGTAACATTTAAATATGTCTGGATACATTAAAAAAAACATCATCTGTTTTATTACTAAGAATGGAATTACACAACAAATATAAGTAGTATATTTTTCTAATTCAGTAACAATCAACTGACTCAAATTAAAAGAACTAAATTGCTATTCAGCATGATGTTTTGAGTTGTTCACTTATTCATAGAGTCGTTTCACTGAAGATTAGTTGAGAGTTTTAAACAAGACGGAAAGATTCACTAATATTTTAATTTCTGCAAACTCACATGATGATGGCAATGTAAAATGCCTTGAAGTCTGTCAAACGTTCAACAAAGGCAAATTAAATAATCTATGAATTAAATCCCATTAATTTGCTTAAAAACCGATTTGTTTACAATGGTATCTATGGCATTTAGTACCACACTTGTTTAAAACACTTCATAATCGATAAAAAAAAATCTAGGATCTTCCTTATAGTAAATGAACAGATCTGTGCAATACTACTACATAAAACTAACAAACCTGTTTTTATAATATACAAAGTAAAACTGTATAGCTTGATTAAAATTCTGAAATCATGATCGAACAGTGAAATTTAATACCTGTTGGTGATACTAGGTGAAAAAATTAATTTCTCATGGATCAAAGAATTTCTGTTTACCTTTTCTCAAAAAGATAACTAAATCAGATTAATAGTTTTTTTCGAAAATAAATGCAATGTTGACATATCCAAATGTAAGTGAGGAAAACCATCTTTAAGTCATAAGAAATCTCAACTTGAACCCTTCTATTAAGTAACAAGTATATGCTTATCACTGACTATGTACAAGGTAGATCTACAGAGATCCTAATTATCAGACATGGTCAGCGAAGAAAAAGCCAAATAAGAAATGAGAGAATAACTCATCGGTAACTTTCCCTGAAAAGTGATTCTTTATGGTTTTATGTTTGAGAGCTATTAGATTACAAAGTTTCTGTCGAAGCTCATTAGTTACTATTTGAGAAGCACGATGAATAGGCCTTTTAATACTTCCGGACAGTAAAAGCTGTAACATTTATTTCACTGAATTATACTTCTTGACTAATATCTTCGAAACCCCATCTTCTCCATTACCGCTAATACTTCTACTGCTTCTACTACTATGGGATTTGAATTGACAATTGCGTCGTGCTGCTGACGTGCCACATCAACCTGTACTGATGAGGGTACGTAGATACGTACGAAAAGTTCTACGTTGCGGTTCACTGACTTTTAAATACTTCCTGGTTTGTAAAAATTTTCCTGTTGATGTCTGTAACCTGAAGAATAAAATGCTTTGAATGACAAGTAGAGCTTAGTTCTCAACTTTTAGTCTCACAAACATCTCTAAGGTTAGACGATGGAAACAAAACTTGAAAAAAAAACCGACTACAAGTATTGTAGACATGGAAGATCTCTATTTTAGACTGAATTATTATTATTATTATTGTCGTTATAATTATCATTTATAATAATAATGATAAACTTACTCAAACTTTCTGCAGTCAAAGTTAGTGTTATCAATGAAATAAGCGAAAAGTACAATGAGAATTTCATTGTACTATAATGTAAACCAATGTGATTGATGTAAATTTTCTCGACTAAGCTGGAAAACTGAATTTTATATTCACCAAAAATTATTGCACAAACAACTGTGCGTTTATCATTTCCTTTCAGTGATGATATAACTCCACTAACAATAACCAACCAATCATAAAACGTTGATTATTGTTTCTCTGATGTGTGTGCGTAAGTAGTACTTTCTGTATAGTAGTTTACGTGATGGTATGCTCAAATGAAGTGTTTCTGTGACTAAAGAATGAAACAATTCAATGTAAAACTGACCATTTGACATTGTATAGTTCAAACTATATCAGAATTTTAAAATAAACAGTCCAATGTATACAACAATATTTCATCTCTGAAATCAGTCTACAAAAATATTTTATTTCTCAGTGTTCTGTTTTATAACAAATATATTTTGATTTATGATATATTTATTTCATCGCTCCATCGATGTACATATGTGTGGAGTTTAGAAAATACAAGCTAAAGGCGTAAATAAATAAACAAATATCAAAATTCAATTAACGAATGATTACAGGATGTGTGTGTGTATATGCATACTATCAATAATCAAATACTATTGCATGACGATTCAATGTAATTTCTTCATTTTGAAAACTCTGGTCACATTGTAAAGCGTAATTAGGTTAACCAGTTTGACTAAAGAAAACTTTCAGGTTACATTTACGCTAAAATTATGTATAGAAAGTTAAATTGGTTATGACTTCACGAATTTATAGACTTACAATACAAATGTGTTTTCTAATATAGAAATATTTAGTGTCAATGTTAAAAAAGAAAATGTAGGGGATATCGAATTGCCGCCTGTATTGTACGTTAGTTATAATATCGAAAGTAGACATCCCGATTATTATTTCAATGCTTCAGAATATGTTTTCTTGGTGCTTGAAAGCAGGGCCCGAGTGTCTACAGTTACAGCTCGCCAGGAGTATTTCTTGGCTAGATACCATCAGAAACAACTTACTGTGGGTTAGAACAAACAGGATTGCAGCAGAAGAAGTAATTAAGGAAAAAAATGCTGCAAGTGGATAGGACACACATTGGGGAAAGCATCCAATTGTGTCATAGTAATTCAATAAAACTGGAAAGGAAGGTCGAAGGCAGAGTAGGGTCGATAATCGTTTTTGCCTGCCTTTGCTCTATTAGGGGTAACAAACTTAAGTTAGTAAGTAGTAAATCCTTCAATATCCTTCGAAATGCAAAATGTTGCTTCAAGATTGGGTCTCATCGTCACCTGAACTAGTGATAAGGAGTGTGTGTCGAGTGTGTTGACCGCTTCACTTATCTGGGTAGTCTCATCAGTGCTGAGACCCTGAATGCCATTGCTCAAAATCGTTTGCAATGGCGCAGATGCATTCATTCTTTGTGTTCGCACAAATTCTAATTTTCTGAATTCCTCATCACCTTCATCTTCTATTTAAGTTTATTCCACTAGATTCTACTTCTTGAATAATATCTTCGAACCCTAATTTTCTTCATTACAAGTAATACTTGTACTATCTCCACCACTATCGGATCGGAACTGACAGTTGCGTCTCTGTGCTAATGTGGTATGGCAACATGAACTGATGTAGTCATGTACGAAGTTCTATGTTGTAACTGACTGACTGACTGACTGACTGACTCCCCAAAATAATTCGAAATAATAATAACACAGATCAGTCCTGAAGTAGAATTTCGCACTTGGTTTGAAACGAACCGATATAAAAAATTTACTTGCATTGTTAATTAAACCGTAAATCTGAAAACTCATATCAGTCAATCAGTCAGTCACCAGGAACTTGAGTTTTAATTTGACCTTATGTATTAATTTTTCTGCTACATTTATATTCTCATTGTTCAGTCTTTCTCGTTAACCTTGATTTTACTAGCATTAAGAATCTTTTTCTGTTCATCTTGTTAATTTGATGTGTTGTGGTTCGGTGATCGAAGCCAACGGACACTCCTGCCAGACTCAAAATGGATCATTTTCAGCTGATTGACTGATTTATATGTTTGAACAGATGTTCAGCATTCAAAAATAACCGACACAGTTTTCAGTCTACAAATCATTATCAAATTTAATTTCTGTTGTTTTCTACTGAGATCTACATCTACCTCCTGTCAATTACCTTTGCAGTGGGTTCATTAGTTAAAGTAAGAACTGGACATAAAAATACCCGGGCTGTTTTCAGTTGTCCATTGTAGACTGCGAATTAGTACTTATTCAAAGTAATGAGATTTATATCTAGAACCCCGAACTAAATGGGTCACAGCCCAACCGAACTTGGTTAAAATCTATAATACTTGACGACCGATGCCCGTTTTCATCTCTTATTTGGGTTTCGCTGTTAATTTTCGAACTGAAAAAACCTGCAGGTTTCATCATGTTAATTAAGTGTTTTGTCACCGTCCAATCAAATATATACAATTTGTAAAAAAACCTTGTTCCTTGTTCCTAACCACAAGGTGGCATATGAGTAGTATACAGCAGAACATCGCCTAGAAGTTACTACCACAGAGGAGTATCTGGAAATTAAAATCCATGGCGCGATCAAAGTGTATTGAAATCCAGAAGAGATGTGAAAGCAAACAGTCAAAAACCTTGTATTGCAAGTTCATGTCTGGAGATTATATGTACACATTTTATAAGTAAACTGTCTTCATGTATATTTGTATAAATTCTATCTGTCCTTTGTACTTGTTTTTCTGTAGAATAAAAATATTCGTAATGCCTAAAACATTTCAATTTTAGTATTTGTCCATACAATTGTTTAGATTTTCAAACGATTTTTATTGGTCTCTGTTCTTTTTTTCGTTCAGCTGTCAGTATCGGAAGTTCCCTCAAAAAAGCTGTGGTATGTGCTGCAGTCTTGGGTCCAGGAGGAACAACAATTATTCCTCGACCGTTGTCACTACGTCCTAATTGGTCTGGAAATCCATGTTCCGGTGGGATAGGAACTACATCTTCTTTAAACACAAGTGTAAGCCAAGGTATTTCAGATCAGTCACCATATTCTTTGCCACCTCCTGCTCCTGCTCATTTACAACTTCCTATATTGCCGGAACCGCACACGTTCATGGAAACACGTGTTAGACGAGCACCTGTTGCTTCTGACCCCTCTTCCTTACTCTGCCGCATCGTAATGAATAATGGGCGTACACTTGTTAATAATTTACAACATTTACACATTTGGCAAATTTTATTTTTAGTAATATATTTCGAAGTTCATTTTTATATGTTATTATAATCATAAGATCATTTTGGACAGATCATTTTTTTTTCTCTTTTCATATTTTTTTTTGGTATTAACAAACCAAAACAATGTGCAGTGATCACTCCAAAAGAATCACCTCGTCCATTTTTATCAGCTCTACTTGCTAGCGTACCCAACGATTGTGATATGAAGATAATGTCAATGTCAGGTAATAAAGATGAACAAAATCTTGTGAAATCTAAGTCAAATGCTACTGTAAATAGTAATCATAATCAATCTCCAGAATCGAAAAATCCATTCTTACTAAAACCGAAATTTCCTGAATACTGACTAACATTAATAATTAGTTATAGATTTTGTACATATTTTAATATTTTGAGATAAATATGCATACTAAGTTCTCTATTATTTTTTGACAATTAAATTTGTTTTTTTTGGAAAAAATTAGATATTAGAAGAGTGGTTGGAATTTTTTTAGAGATCATACAACTCATTTGATCTATTGATTTATGCAACAAAAGTTGACGAACAACAGAAAAATTATTAGATGGCTAAAGATAATTCGGTCAATAGATATATAAAAGTAATATCGTTATCCACCTTGGGCAATGAACGATGGTTGCGCAGTATCGTGAATTAACCAAAGGTATTGATTGGGTTCCATGTCAGTGATTTAGAGAGACTAAATATTCTGAGATTGATCACTGTTGACAGAGACATAGATGTGCATTCCCAAGTCCCTTGATAGGGGAGAAACAGCTGATCATCACTTCCAGGTTTTCAATGAGGGGCAAGCTAGAATCGTTTGATGATATAAACTATGAAAATAATGTTCTTAAATTGATCTTCGTCAGATTTTACTCATATTTTCAGTTATATATATATATATATGGAATCAATAAAAATCATGTAGATTACGCAGTTACTCACTATAAATAGGAAGTAAACATTGTCAATCGGATGACTGACATAGTAGTTATAAAAACAGAGTGAGATGGTAGGCAGGAAAGTTAGGTTGAATTCAAAAGAACAAACTTACTAAAACTGCTCGATACTATGTATCTAATTAGTCCCTTTGTGCTATATCCGGCGGAAGACTAGAGAAATGATAACTCCTAGGACTTATCGATTATTATTATTATTATATATATAGTCTCATTGTACAATTATTAAATAACTAGATTATAACATATTTATATGTTTTTGTCGTAAGCTCTTCATTAACCCATCAGCTAATTTTGCAATAGTTACTATTCCTAACCTTTTGCCGGTTTATCATTCACAGACTCTCCTATTTACAGCCAGTTTTGACCTGCCCATGAGTGAATGTGTTTTGCCAACCTATAGTGTGATGTGATTTGGCATGTTTTGTATATGAACTATGTCTGCTTGATACAACGATTTTGTGGAGGCTGGCTACAGACTTCTGGAATTAGAGGCAGGGTAGAAAGAAAAAAGCTATCGAGTTATGGACCAGTAAAAATTTAGGAGTGACTCAAGGTTTGTACTTGTCACGTGATATTGGACAGCGGTTAGAGATATAATGAGTTGGATATACAAGTAGGTAACAGGCGATACAAATGAACGAATATAAGTAAACAGTGAATCAAGATAATCATTAAAATCGTCCTTGGCTAAGAAAAGAACAGTGGTATTATGAACTTCTGAGCACAAAGCTACTGAATTCCAATAGCTTGGGAGTTAAGATGAAAATCTGTCACGAAAATGATAGGGTATACAATATCACTTGACCGATCGCAACCAAAGTCGGTGAAAAGGAGCTACGTATTGACTACTTGACGTTTCCTGAATCACGGATGAAGACGTCCATTGATCTTTGGTTCATGTGTTATTGATGAATTAAATTCTAAAGTACTTAAGAATTAAAACATTGATAAGCTAGACGAAACGAGATGTCGCATGCCTATGCTCACGTTGTCTCGATGCCAAATGCAGAGTAATAACATAAGGAGGATGATTTTTTCTCCGTCAGCTGTTATTTGTATGGTTGATGTTTAGTCGAGTGAGACTTACGAATAAGACCTATCTGAATTTCTTTCCTTAATTTTAGTTTTAGAGTAGATTGAAGTTAACTGCTAGACGCACCCGATTATTTTTCCCATCCCTGATTACCAATGTTCGATAAAAGCCATCTTTCTAAATACTGGCAAGAACACATTGAAAGACAGTTGGTGAACGTTCTGATCAAGTTTCTTTGGCAGTATCATAAAAATTACTTAAAAAGTCCAAATTTTCTAATATTAATTCACTGTGATGAAGATGATTAAACTGACTAGTGAATGGTAATACACGGACACTATTGCCGACTAGTTCTTGACTCGATATCCACTTAGGCTAAGGTTGCTTATATGTTCCATCGATCGTTGTTCGTCTACGCATACATCATGATCTGCTCTTCCGGATTTCCATGATTGTCATTATTGACTTCAAAGTATCAGGTAAATGTGGAGAGTAAACCTATTTGTTGTAGCGTTTCATTAAATTTCTTCAGCAATTAACAACTAGCCTAATTACTCTTTATCTGATGTTCTAAAACATTTTGTCTGAGCTATTAATAATTATTTGTTACTCATTTAATGTCAAATCAAATGACCAGTGAATGACTAATATCACAAGGATACTACTGATGAGAGACAACTGGTCGTTATTCTAAAAGATTGTTGATGCTGTAGAACTATTAGTTGCAAGGTTTTTTTAAAAAATACATTAAATTACATACGGTTACCTTAGCGCCTATGTCAAAATAATAAAAGACAAATTATAGTTGTTTATTGTTAGGGACGATTTCGAACAATGTAATCGATTATCTGAAATAAATTTAGGCTCTAAATCAACTGGGCCAGGTTGACAATAAAATAACACGTCAATTTTTATTGTTAAGTTGAATTCAAGATTTATGTAGTAACTGTTATTAATAAAACAATTACGTAGAAAATATAATGAGTTTTTCAATGTCAAAATGTATTTACCTACATTTAAACACTTTAGGACTTTAATAATTGTATACATTTCTAATCTACTGTTAAACGAGTTAAATATTTTGTTGATTGATTTAAGTGATAAATCCTGCTGTACAGAGTTTGTAGCTCTTCAACCGATTGTAGAAATTTATTCAGAAAACTTTTCATGCATGATTCCCACGTTTCAAATTCATATTGTACTGGTGAACTTGTCTTGTCTAATTCTGGTTTTTGTTGTGGTAATTGTTCTTCTTGATCAACCACATCTAGTGGTTCCTTTTGATTGTCAGACTTTTCTATCTAAAATTCAAATAAATAAATGTATAAATTTTTTCATCAGTGACTATCCATCGGGTGAAAATGTGGAAGAGAAGTGGATGGCCGTTTTATTCCGCTATAGTAACTGTTTGACAATACATATTGCAGCCATTATCTATTGTCATCAGAGAGGTTAGTCTCAGACAATTTTCAAATTATTAAAAAGTTGTCATAATCACTATGGTTCTTAAAAGCCATGTGCTTTAAGATGGATTTCATAAGTCCTAACTGAAAGTCATAAGTTATGAAGCTAACTAATTAGGAAGTGTGATTTATTGATGACATTGGATGGTGGTCGTTTGAATGGAATTGAGTATATGAACCACTGGCCTCTAATGCGATTGGTTAATTTTATCATACCCGCCCCTTGGATTGTTGCTATCGTACCCGCAAAATCAACTGCATACAAACATTGTTCAAGTGAGTGAATACACACTGCAGCATATATGAAGCATTAAAAAACGAGGAAAAGCATCTTCTGACCATCTTCCAAAAAACGGCTATCCACGCAACTTCATCAAAAAACATCAACTGAAATCGTCAACAGAAGAGAAATCAAGTACAGGAACCAATAAATGGATCATCCTACCATACATAAAAGACATACCGGAATATACAGCACGACTGTTGAGACCATTTGGTATAGGGGTGGCAGACAAACCAACAGAATCATTTCAATCAATCCTATGTAGACCGAAGGACAAAATGAAGAAAAACCAAATATCTTCTACAAAATAAATTGCTCAGACTGTGAAAAACACTACATAAGACAAAGTGGATGGCCTCTTCAGCTCCGTTTACATGAACACTAATTAGCAGTCAAACGCCACGACAATTCTTTGCTTACATCAATTCACACTGACAATTATGGACATACATTCGATTGGAACAATGTGGAAATACTGGGTAGGGGAAGGACAAAGAACACTAGAGAATTTTTAGAAGCTTGGCACTCAGGTTAATCAGCAATTAGCAAACACATCGATATTGACCCAATTTATTAACCAATCAGAAAAATAATAGGCGACATAGGATCAAAAAATAGATCAAGAGGGGGAATACAATCAAAACAAAGGTGCAAACAACGACAGACTTAAGGTCAACAGCAACCAATCAAGATCGCGATTAACAGAACAAGCTACAGGTCAAACGTGGGGAAATTGGAATTCTTCACTTCCATATGAAGTTTGTGCTGATGATGTTGTTCAGAAGAACAACGAATGCTCCACTACCGAAACATCCAGCTCAGAGAACGAAACACCGCAATAATGGCTATTTGATAGCTCTACACTGATGTAAACGCTGATCACGCATTATACAAATTTTAATATCTGTTTTATAAATCTATGTAGATTTATTGGTTATAGAACAATTAACTCGAGTTGTTTTAGATTTAAATAAATCTTATTAAAGACCTCATATTACCAGCACAGATTAACCAAATGCGATCCTAAATAACAATGACGGAAAAGCATAAGTCGTTATTATTAAATAATGTTCGAACCGTAATGACATTTTTAGTAGTTTGGTTAATACAATTTATGAAATACTTAAACATTTCACACTTTACAGTAAAATAGTACTTCGCATTATTGCCATCTTATAGACTCCTTCCGTTTTTTATTAAACAGTTAGATGAACTTATTAATGTTAAGAGCGAAATCGCTTCTGAATAGGTATTGCTGAACTTTTATAAACCGTGCACTGTTATGCACGTATTTCCCAGACAATTTTATCGATCCTTGTGCTTCGATAAATTAAATCCAAATATATCTATTCTTCTTCGTCTCACGAAATCCCATACGGAAAAATGTCGTGAAATGATAAGCAGACTAATTGAACTTCATATTCACGCATCATGAGTGTTATCAAATATTTCTGTAATATGTCAGATTAAACTTATACACTTGTAGTTAAGTGGTCGTTAAAACAAAGGTTACTACTGAACAAAAGCTGAATAATTCGTTTATTAATGATAATTGTGGAAATTCATTTCAGTTTAACCCGTATAAATTCATAACAAGTTTATCATCCGTCAAACTTTTCGTCTTTGAGAAAGAAGCTCTATACCTCGGATTTAAATTTTCTGTACCTCATGACGAAATTTCTGATTTCTCGATCGATGTTCTGTTTGAAAATCTCTCTGGTCAATTGAACCGTTCGGTCCCAAGCACTCCAGAAATGCAAAACTGGTTGATATTTAATATCAATTTCATGGTTCCCATATAAGACATCACAATATTTTGATATCCGAACATTAAAGTGCCTTAAAAAACCTCCGTAGAAGACCGGATATCGTGATTTTTCAAGCCTGACAAACGTTCTGGCGTAGTTATGAATAAATGTGACTGTAAAGAGGAATGTCATCCATCCTTAGTGTTGAGAGGAAGATCTTAAAGAATGTTTCGTCTAACAAGAATGGAAGAAAATTGGGATTCGGAGTTAACTCCACGCTAATGAAGCTGTTCAAAATGAATTTTTGTTCTATATGCTAAAGCCAACTTTCTCTGGACTCCAAAATTTATCTAGATTATCTAGAATTCACAAAACTAATAATCCATTGGGACTAATATTATCTATGTGTGAGCCACCTACATGTGAGCTAGCGAAAAGGTTAGCTGAATTACTCAGCCCAATCTGTAATAAATTGTTGACGTTCTTGATGACATTAATTTTAAAGAAAAAAAAGACTACGTATTCTTCTGATGTAAACTCCCTTTCTTACTAGTGCTAATTTTCTTTGTGACTATTTAAGGAGTAATTTCTCTCCTTTTCTTGTTCGGTCAGCACTATTGAGAGAACTAAGTTTATTATGTGCTGAAAAAGTCCAATTCACGTTTGAAGGTGAACATTTCCATCAAGTTGATGGCGTTGCTGTGGTTAGTCCGTTTGGATCTCTGTTAGCTGATGCATATATGGTGTGTCAGAAATATGTTGACGGGGCTCATTAGTGATTTAACTGCAGAGGAGATATATGGATGATGTAGTAGTGAGGTTTGATAAAAATTTCAATGTGGTTACATTACCAAATAAATCCAACAGTGTACGGAATGATATTGTAGTGACTTTTGAAGGCGAAAGTAATAACCGATTTCTCTAATTAGACATACTGTTGAATTGAAGGCAGGATGAAACTATAAAGCAGTCAGTTTAAAGGAAGTCAGTCTGGACTGAGCAATATTTAAATATCTATAGTTTTGTCCACTGAAATAAGAAAGAGGCTTCGTAAAATGTCTCTTTAATAGAACTCATAGAATACGTACTACATTTACATTTGAAGACGATGCTAAATTTCTGACTGATACACTGATTTCAAATGGTTATCCATGACAGTTTATAAATAGGTGTAGCAGTCAGCCACTACCAGAACCTCCCTTCAGTCCTATTGCGAGGAAAAGTTTTTATATCTCTATCATTTGAAGGTGAATCAAACAGTTTGATTTTAAGACAAAGACATACTACGCTGTTAAACTTATTATAAATGGAAAGACTAATCCCGTGGTTCCACATAGGCCTAGACGTTGCATGCATGATTACGTCACATCCCACTTATTTATCATTCTACTTGCTTATACAGACACATATGTAGGGAAGCGTGATTGGACAATGCAATCAAGTATTATGGAACGTGGTTTTACAATCAGGTCATGTTTAATGCTCCGATAAACATGGGAAGTAGAGAGCTATATTCATCGATAGCAAAGCATCTAACTAGAACAGGACCTTAATAAAGCTTTGAAAACGTTGTGTAGAAATTGTCAGGAATGAATTCTTAGGTTTATTGAAACACCGGCTATTCACGAATTCAAACCCATTTATAATGTACAAGAACAACTTGGGGTAATTGGACCAGATTGTTAGAAATGTATAGCGCAAGTACATCATATTTTTCATATCAACCACCTCTTCTCATTGCTCTATCAGCATTTATAAAAGGGACTAATTGGGCAGATATTGCAATTCACCCAATTATTTTAGATTTGTTTGAACGGAATAATTATGAGTTCTAACTGTATGTATCATTATTATGATAGGAAACTTGGAAAAACTTAAATATAAACAGAACAGTGCTTGGTTTAGTTTTCTTTTTATTTACCTTATGACACAATGAAAGATATGTTTGAATTCAAACGTATTTTATAAATAATGGGTGGGAAAAAGCAGTTGTGACAATCGTTCTAGTAGAAAACTAGATTGAATAAAAGCAGCTGTCAAATACTGATAGTTAAAATAGCGATTATTGTATTATTAACTAACTGATTCCAGGATCTCTTTACTGTAAAAAATTTATCTGATAGCATAATGTTATAAACAATAAATATGTTGTATCCCAATGAGTAAAGAATCTTAATTTTTCTATTCATTGAGATACTACTTACTTAATTACTCACGCCTGTTACCCCCAATGGAGCATAGGCCGCCCACCAGTTTTCTCCTACCAACTCTGTACTGGACTTCCCTCTCCAGTTCTGTCCAACTTTTGTTCATTCTTCTCATATCTTTCTCTATTTCACGGCGTAATGTATTCCTTCGCCTTCCTCTTTTCCTTTGACCCTGATGGTTCCATGTGAGGGCTTGTCTCGTGACGCAGTTAGGTGCTTTTCGTAGTGTGTGTCCTATCCACTTCCACCGCTTCTTCCTGATTTCCTCATCCACTGGAATCTGGTTTGTTCTCTCCCACAGTACGTTGTTGTTGATACTGTCTGGCCAACGAGTCCGAAGTATTTTGCGTAGACAATTGTTAATAAACACTTGTATCTTCCGGATGATGGCTTTGGCAGTTCTTCAAGTTTCCGCTCCATACAGTAGAACTGTCTTGACATTTGTATTGAAAATCCTGATACTACGTATATATATTATTGTTATCATTACTAATCTACTCAATAACTGATTTATACGAAATTATCTAGTTAAACCTTAGTAATGATACCTATTATTATTAATAATACTGACGTACTTCCGGTGATATACTGGTTTTTCGACTTTCAGCAACTCGTTTTGTTTTGTTCTTTTTTTCTTTTTGTTTTTTACCAGCATTAATTTTTAATTGTCTTGAAGTACTTGGCCTATGCGATAGTCTTCTAGTTTCTATAATTTGAATAAATAAGAATATTTTACAGTATAGCTTAGTGAGTGGAACAAAAGTGAAACTAAGTAAATAAGTCATCAAAAATACTTATTCTCTTGTGAATTTTCCAGTGAAATTATGGTGGAGTTTTGTGCTCTAAGTTGGATGTTTTGGTTGTGGAGCTTTGATTGCCGTTCTGAACAATGTTAGCTCAGCGAACAAAAATCCACCATAATCATTTACCTTGTCTACATATATATTCTCCGCCATCTCAATGAAATTAGCTGATCGAAATGGGTGATTTTCATCTTACCTAAATTGTTTATCTAATTTGTACAAATGTGTTGATATCAATAATCCTGTCGATTTATCACAAGCAATGTATTGGTTTAAAGTATTAGAAGGAATAGTATCAGTAGAAAAGGTTAGACTCCAGAAGAATAAATTACCTAGTTCATGGAAAAGTGTATGATAATACTGAAACTCAGTATCTGAGGGAAAATAGAGGAGGAGTGAATTTACATGAGGTTTTGCGGTCGATCCTAACCTGCTACACCTAATATCTCAACCAAAGGTAGTCTAGAATTACCGACACAGCTAAATCTAATAGTCAGTGATTTTATGAACTGATGTCACGTTTAATTTTTGACAACAATAGGTTTTTTCCAATTTACTATACTATAGTAAATATCTGACGTTGGGTTAAGTGGTAGTTGACGATGCATAAAACATTTCCTAAATCACCTTAGTCAATGAAGTTTCGGTCTCATCAACCAGTTCACCATCTTTATCTAGCATGCAAAATCTCATCTCCTCATTTTTACTTATTACTCCTAACAAACACAAGCAGTGCTTCGAAGGCATCTATGGTTGAATACCAGTAACTCACAAATATTTGTATAGATCAGGTTTAATGGCGATAAAGTAAAAAATAGTGAATTTTTGCTCAGTATACTCATCTGTGTATATACACAAAACAGTGTAGACTAGTAAACCAGATTGTATATGTAATATTTCCTGAAGTAAAAACTTACGTTTAATAGTTAAATCTGGTGTAACAGTTTTTATTTTATCATCTACAGATCCTATATCTGGTTCATCTTTTTTTAACATCAAAATCAGCGTACATTCAATAAGAGCTTCGAAAAAATCGAAAAAAGTAAGCTGAAACAACAAGAAAATGAATGAAATCAGCCACAACATAAATGTTAAAATCAAAGTAAAAAAAACTCACTTTTATTACAAGATTTTGTATCATCAGATGACCATTGTAAATTATGAATGACTAGGTGATAGTCATATTTTGTTGCTGAACTTCAACAAGATTTGGATTAGCAAACTTATTCTTTGACAGTTATAGAACAGTCAGAAGAGCACAGTGAGCATTCATGCATTCATTCTTGACCCTATTTCAATAAATTTTATTCTAATGTATATATTCAAATCGTATGTTCTGTAAGTGTTTTTCATTCATCATTATTTGCTATTTATTGCTGATTGTGAAAAATTTTCAACTGGTTTTAGTAACTATTTTCTCTATCCATCATATGATTATGTTCATGATTTGTGATTTTGTTAGGTTCGTCACTAGGCATGCTTGAAACTATTACGGGTTCACCTTAGTCGATAAACTAGAATGACACAATAAACTAGCGTCCAATTAGGCTAACTTGATCTGCTAACTAATGAAATGTCTTGATGTAGATTAGAAAGTATATTCTGCAAACACCCAGCAAGCACAATGTAATCAAGCATACAAATCTCATTTATTTATACATCATAGAAACGTCCTTGGGACAGTCACAAAAATAGCACACAAAAATACACAGCAATCAATCACAGCCAAGGATTATCCTAATGGGAAATGAAATCTCAAGGTCAACTGATCAGCCCATGCTCGCAAACGTTAAATACAAAATAAGGCATTTATCAACCGAGATCTGGGGATCTAACGACCCTAACAGATTTTATCGCCCCTCAATTCTTGAAAGTGTAGAACAAAAAAGAAATATGCAAATAATTGCAGTGGATTCATTCGAGTATTTTAGTAATTAATTTTTTACAATAATTAATAAGTATTTGACAAGGAAGCATGAGTATTCACTTAAAACCAATTATTATATAGTTAATAATAAGTAGTGTTGATAATGAAATAAGTGGTCACATGAATCGAATACACCGAATAACATAAATCTCAACGCATAGTTAATATTGTGTGCTCTACAATGATTTTTAAAAAAATTCGAAAAGAGTGGAGATTCGTTAGTTATTTTATAAACTCTATTTTTACCCTTGCACTTTATATATCTTCTGCTATTTGATTACTTATTTACTTACTTACGCCTGTTACCCCCAAAAGAACATAGGCCGCCCACCAGTTTTCTCCAACCAACTCCGTACTGGACTTCCCTTCCCAGTTCTGTCCAACTTTTGTTCATTCCTCTCATATCTTTCTCTATTTCTCGGCGTAGTGTGTTCCTTGGCCTTCCTCTCTTCCTTTTGCCTTGAGGGTTCCATGTGAGGGCTTGTATCGTGAGGCAGTTAGGTGCTTTTCGTAGTGTGTGTCCTATCCACTTCCACCGCTTCTTCCTGATCTCCTCCTCCACTGGAATCTGGTTTGTTCTCTCCCATTGTACGTTGTTGTTGATAGTGTCTGGCCAAGGAGTCCGAAGTATTTTGCGTAGACAACTGTTAACAAATACTTGTATCTTCTGGATGATGCCTTTCGTTGTTCTCCAGGTTTCGGCTCCATACAGTAGAACTGTCTTGACATTCGTATTGAATATCCTGATCTTGGTTTTGATTGAAAGTTGTTCGGAGTTCCAGATATTTTTCAACTGTAGAAATGCAACCCTTGCTTTGCCAAACCGTGCCCTCACATCTGCATCGAATCCACCTTAGTTGTCGATGATGCTGCCCAGATATGTAAAGGTGTTAACGTCCTCCAAGGCATCTCCATCAAGAGTGATTTGGTTGGTGCATGTTGTGTTGCATCGGAGAATTTTGTTTTTTCCTTCATGTATGTTGAGACCTGTTGCTGCAGAGGCTGCAGCTACACTGGTCGTCTTCTCTTGCATTTGTTGTTGCGTGTGCGATAGAAGAGCCAAGTCATCTGCGAAGTCCAGATGTCGACGTCTTCATAATCCAGTCGATCACCAGGAGAAAGAGGAAGGGTGAGAGTAGGCAACATTGCCTGACACCGGTCTTCATCTCGAAAGAGTCTGTTAGCTGTCTTCCGTGCACGATTTTGCAGTTGAATCCATCATAAGAATTCAGTATGATGTTAACTATTTTCTCAGGCACACCATAGTGTCGAAGAAGCCTCCACAGTGTTTTCCTATCCACGCTATCGAATAATTTCTCGTAGTCGATGAAGTTGATGTAGAGTGGTGAATTCCATTCAATTGATTGTTCCACAATGATCCGTAATGTAGCGATTTAGTCAGTACACGATCGATCCTCACGAAATCTAGCCTGTTGATATCGGAGTCGGGCGTCTACAAAGTCCTTCATTCTGTTTGACAATACCGTGTTGAAGACTTTTCCTGGTATTCAGAAAACAGTGATGCCTGTGTAGTTCTCACACTTGCTGAGATCGCCTTTTTTGGTATTTTGATCAGGTATCCTTCTTTCCAATCTGATGGTACTTGTTCCTCATCCCAAATCTTCTTGAAGAGAATGTGAAATATTTTCGCAGTTGCATCTACATCTGCTTTCATTGCCTCTGCTGGAATGTTGTCTGGTCCTGCTGCTTTGCCACTTTAGATTTGTCTGATGGCCATGCTGATCTCTTCAATTGTAGGTGCGCCAATATTAATTGGGAGGTCCGTGGATGCTGCTTCGATGTTGGGTGTGTTCAGTGGGGCTGGTCGATTCAAGAGTTCCTTAAAGTGCTCTACCCACCTATTTCGCTGTTCTTCAATGTTGCTGATTGCTTTGCCTTCCTTGTTTTTCAATGATCGTTCTGGTTTACGATAGTTTCCGGCGAGCTTCTTTGTTGTTTCGTACAATTGTCTCATATTTCCGTCTCTTGCAGCCTTTTCCGCCGTCATTGCTAGATCTTCCACATATTTTCGTTTGTCAGCTCTGATGCTCTTCTTCACTTCCCTGTTTGCTTCTGTGTATGCAGTTTGTGCGGTAACTTTCTCCACTCTTGTTCGGCTGACATTGATTGCTGCCTTCCTGTTCCTCCTTTCTTCAATTTTTGCAAGAGTATCAACAGAAATCCATTCCTTGTGATGGTACTTCCTGCGACCCAGAACTTCATTAAATGTTGAAGTGATCGCCTCTTTATTCCCTTTCCAATTGTTCTCCATGGTTGTTTTCTCTCCATTGAGTTGATCCTGCAAGCCCTGGAATCTATTGGTGAGGGCTATCTTGAATTCGTTGAGTTTTACGGTATCCCGAAGAGAGGCCGTATTAAACTTGTGCGATGTTGTCTGTCCCGTCTTCCAGTGCTCCTTTAGTTTCAGTTTCATTTTGGCGACCAGCAAGTGGTGATCTGAAGCTATATCAGCTTCTCTCCTGGTTCTCACATCCTCCATGGTCCTTCTGAACGTTTAGTTGATACAGATATGGTCAATTTGGTTTTGAGTATTGTGGTCCGGTGAAATCCATGTAGCTTTGTGTGTGCGTTTGTGCAGGAATGTTTTGTCACCGATGACCAGTTGGTTGAAGGCATATGGGTTCGCAACCCCGTCACCGTTTTCGTTCCTCTCACCCAGTCCATGTCGTCCCATGATGTCTTCATATCCAGTGTTGACTATTCCAGCCTTGGCATTCAGGTCTCCCATAAGAATCGTCAAATCCTTTGGTGAACATTTCTCGACGATTGACTGCAGCCTTTCGTAGAATTGATCTTTAACGTCGTCATTGTAGTCGTTGGTAGGTGCATAGCATTGGATGACGTTCATTGTAATGTCCTCTTTCTTTGTTTTGAAGGATGTTGTGATGATCCTGGATTCATGAGATTCCAATCCTATCAGTGCCTTTTGTGCTTGCTTGGACAGCATCAGTGCAACTCCTTGTGTATGTGAAGCATTTTCCTCTTCATGACCAGAGTATAGCAGCAGTTCCCCTGAAGCTAGTCTCAGTTGTTCTACCTGTGTCCAATGCGTTTGATTGATGCCGAGCACCTCGAGGTTGTATCTTTTCATTTCTGCCGCAACTTGAAATAGTCTTCCAGTTTCCCACAATGTACGAACGTTCCATGTACCTAAAAAAGTGGTTGCTCTGGTTGTCAGAAGAGGTGTCGGCCCCATGACTTCCGAGAGAACTCGGCTTTCATCACGCGACGTCATAATTCTCCTTCCAACTCTCAGGGCAGAGTTAAATGGTTTGAATTATTTCTTCTGGTTAGCGTTTTTTTGCAAGTTAGTTTTTGACGGAATGGGGTCGCCAACCCCATGTCCAACCCTCCTCCTTAATCCGGTCTTGGGACCGGCTTTAGCCTCTAAGGTTCTACAGGCGGAGTTCTGCTATTTGACTAAGCCATAATAAATTCGTTGAGATTTTACTGTTACATATAAATGGTAGTTTCAAGTGATTCATAATACAATATCCAATCAAATAGTTTATTTTATCATCTTTTGAAACCTGTTGCGATTAAAATGTACACTATAGCTATTAGTTATAAATTTTGATAATGTTCAGTAACAAAAACCTGATAACTAGGGGTATTATAAAAAAAATGTTTAACAAATATTCAATTTTCACTGAATTCAAGTGTTCATCAGTTCATATGAACATAAAGAAACTTTTACATAAATTTGGTTTGTCAAACAAGCAACATTTAATAAATATATTATTTTTCAAAATTACTGTACAGCTTATTCATTGAGTTCCAGAACAAAGGTAATCTATTGGCGTATAGTCAGATTAATTTTAATTGTTTATTGGCTAGTGAGTTGTTATTTCAGTAAATCTACAGTATCATTCAATCGCCCTTAAATCTAATTAGTGGATGAATATCACGTGATAATTCTCAGTTATTTTATTCACTTAAAAAATATTATTCTATTGAAAAAAAGCGATCTTCAACGAAGTCTATTTTCTTGGTGAATTTATTTACGGCATAAATGTAACTTGCCTCAGTATCAGCATTATATTCATCTAATGTTCCAACTACTGGATTACATTTACACAATGCTTCAAGAACATCTTTAACTGTAAGCTTTCGGCTTAACAAATTGAAATCCTGAAAAAAGAGTAATCATTAAACGTTGCAAATATGGAATTATAATGTTTTAACTGTTAAAAGAAAAACAAGACCTATCTACATTGATTTTCCACTAAAAATAGTCATTATTATGTTATCTAATTGTCAGTATTCACGAAAGATTCCGGTTGATTAGTGTAAATATTTATTCATCAATTTTCTAATTTATTGAGTTATTGTATGACTAACTTCTGTAGTCATATATGATTCTATGACGGCTAAGGATTAATCAACTTCGATTGTTAAACACTGCAGTTGATTAGTTTACCTGGTCCAGATATACAAGAGACCAGTTTGAAGGGTGAATTACGGAGTAGCAAACCTTTTGTGTATAACAATGAGGGATTTGTGTATTGATTTGATCCACTAGTCACGGCTTTTCATTTGAACTCTGAGAATTTCTCATGAAGCTAATCATTAGTGAGCACATTGTATGGAGTTCAACCCTGTCTGGTCTAGGTAGTAACTACCAAAGACAATTGGTAAGGTTACACAAATTCCTAGATTGATCAAAGTTAGACATTAAAACTGTTGGATTTAGGCCCAGTGGTCTAAAGAATAAGCGTTCGCGCGAAAGTGAAGGTACTTTTTTCGATTCCTGCTAGCGCAGTTCGTGCATGCACACTACTGAAGAGTCTCATAAGAGGACGAAACGGCCTCCCATTGCTTCCAGGTTTCTAATGGTGGTCCAGCAATGATTGAATCATGATTTCAATGATAACTCTATGATGAATATTAAATTAGCTAATAATAATAATAATAATTTAGAGTGACTATATTGGGAACAGATGTCTCAATCAAACAAAGATAATCATCGTCCATGATTACGGTCCCCATGCGTTTTATGATACAAAGAAGTAGATGAAATAGTTTAACATTATCAATAACCTTTAATAAATAATTTTGAAGATTACTTCAAAACTATTTATATTATTTATATTTTTTTATTGTAATCGAGATTGTAAGTAAATCAGATGTTAATTAGTAAAGAATTTAAAACATTATGGTAAGTTTTAGTTATTGATAAACAAATAATAAGGATTACTCATATCTTATTAACAGTATTCATGACTTACCCGAAGAATAAACAGGAAATTACGTGTAGTCATTGTGTACGGTGGTGGAAGTATTGAATTCTGAAACTTTATTGTTAAGAGAAGAAAGACCAGAATTAGTGCATAACCTAGTGCATATATATAGCCTATACCTCTGTTAGAACTTCAAGAATTACAGTTTTTTGCTACGAATACTAATTTCCGATTTATTCTGCTTTAACTATTCTTCAAACGATGCCAATCCATGACTTCAGCCGAAAAATCTTTTAAAATCTCTTTCGGAATAAATTAAATAGCTATGGTTTGTGCAAATAATTTTAAATACCATTATGTCACTCTGATCTGGATAAACGTCACGACATTTCGCCAATGTTACTAATGATTTATGAGTGCTGTTCATCAGTTTAATTCGAAACTATTCATTTTAGTAGATAATTCCCTATATTTTGATGTAAATCGGTCGGTCATGAAGACATTGTATACGCGATGTCGAATCACTTAAACTAGGGATCACTTTACAGTTTAATCTACTAATGAGTGTAAACATCCAATGTTATCGAGCACAGTTCATCGAGATGATCTCTCAAAGAAATCGTTGAGAAGTCTCTCTTGTATATGATAATATAAGTTTGCAAAATTGATCGAACTCGAAAAATATAAAATGAACAAAATTTATACTTCATCTAATAAATCTAAATACGGACTGCTTACTTTTCCTTTAATTTGTACTAAAAACTTATAGGCATGATAAAGTGATTGTAGAAATAAATGAGTTTCTTTGGACTTTTCAACATCTTGATAAATAACACCAGATAGTTTACATGCATTTGGAATAATTGCTTGAGTTAGTAAATATAACAGGGCATCACTTGGTTTGCTAATAAATTACAAATATTATCATGAATAACTTTTCACAAAAACAAATCAAGATCATTTGTTAAAATAAAATGAATCCTTGACAGTAGTAAAGTGTGGAATTTGAAATTTAGTTGGAAGCAATTTTTGTTAATCTTCAGTTTCTGACGTAATTTTTTCCTAATAAAGTATTAAATAATGCAAAATGGTTTGGGACTTTTCTGATCGTTGTGTGCTCATATCCGCACTAGGAATCGAAATCATGTCCTTTAAGTGACACAAAGAATATGAACTTTTAAAGCTACTGAGCCATAGTTAAACATTTGATATTGTGAGCCCAGTCACGCTTCTAATTTTTTCATCGCTCATCATTAATGGAAATTGGTTTTCATTTAATCTGAAATGATCACTTATAAAACTTATCTAGTCACAATTCTGTGCATTATATTTATTAAAAAAGGATACTTTTCGAATTTAGACTTTAACCCTTTTTTATTTGATGAAAGTTATTGTTCAAGTAGTGAATAATATGTGCTTCTCGATTTGAAATAATAGTATCCGTTATGCCTGTCGTTGTTGAATCTGTCAAAAACTTAACTGGTCTGTGTTTTTTTTTACCGGGACCTCATGATCCGACTACATGTAATGAGAATACTAAGACTGATGATATGAATTCGTTTGATCTCGAAAACAAATCAAAATAAAATATGTATACACAACTTCTTGTATGATTGATTTACAGTTAAATTTGTGTACATTGAACTGAATAGTACTTAACATCATTTAATCACTAACTTACTGTGTGAACGCATATCATATCGTACAACTAAGTATATATACATACCTAACTGACTAAGCTCTGTGACAAATCCTTCTCAGAATGCAATTACATGTTACAGAAAACTGGAAGAAAGCTAATTTCATGTCATTCATACTTCAATCGATCAGGTCATTGCTCACCATATCATCGACGAAATGATCTGAGGTCTTTCTTTTCCAACACTGGTGAAACAGTGATGCTCCAGTTTTCGTAAGAATTATTCTTCGGTTTCATCTACAAACTACAGATCTGCCAGTGACATTCTATTTCAGAAATGTATTCTGTCATCGTCTGATTGCTTATTAGGCACTAATTTTTAACAATATCAATGGGTGAATTTGTAGAATGTTACATTGTTACATTGAAAATAATGTGTATTAGAGAATTATTATTTACCTTTTAGTTATTTTTTCATGCATGTTACATTCATCTTGAGTGTACAAGTTACAAGCTAATATAACAAGAATGTTTACAAATGTTCCGAAAGAGATTAGTTTCTCAGGATTCTGAACACTTATTTCGTCACAATCTTCAGATCCGTAAGATACAGCTTGTGATTAAAAAAAAACAGTAATTCAGACAATTATCATGTTAAGCTGTTAGTTTAAAGTTAAGATATATTGTTAATAAAAATCCTACTCATAGTTAAAATTCTAATATTCACAATAATGATAAACAAATTCAAATAAAGACTGCAATGTCGGTGTAAAATACCTTGGAAACATTGCTAGTTAGTATTATCCATAAAAGTGTATATTTGATTTTTCATACTGTCATATCTTTCACTCGTCAATTGAGATATTTACTTCAGTTTCATCCGAACAGTTTCGTCGTATACTGCTGATAATAAAAATAGCATGCTTTAAAGCTCACTTGCAAATCATTCGGATAAGTTGATAACTTTATTTTAAGTAACCATAGTTAGCTTCATAAGGACATACTACCAGTCGGTCGATATCACCCCACTACCTTAGTCGTTGAAAGTTAACTCTGTCAGAAATTATAAACATAGTTAATGACGGTTTTGCTATTTTTATTAATCCATGACGAAAATTTCCTCAAAACGAATGGCTTTAATCAATAAATATGTTGTAGAGTATTGTCACAACGATTCCTCATGTTATTTACAAGGAAATACCAAAGTAAATACACGTGTTGAAAATTCTTATCTCGTAACATTTTCAATTAAATTACATTTAGTCATAGAACTAGTTACATATTTTATTAAGGAATATAATAGAAATAGTTTGTGCTTCCCAACAAAGACATGTTATTCATTTTATTTAATTGAAATAAGACTAAAGGTGCAAATTGCAAAATGCTTTCAAAGCCTCAGTATGTATGTAAAATTAGAAAAATCAAATACATAATTGTGATTTTTAAAACATTCGAGCTAATTTTTGTCGAAATAAGGCTACCATTGGTACAAATAGGGTATCTAAGTATATAGTTCGAAATACTTGGTAATAGGCATTTTACGAAGGTTGACTAGTTGATTTCCATCATTCCAATTCCGGCTGTTCTTATTAGTTCAGATAAAGTGTTTCATCTGTTAATCCTTCTTTATGAGCGAAAATCTTTTTCGAAGTAATTAACTCTTTCCGAAGTTGATCTTATGTCCTATTTCTAATGAATGTAACACTATTGATGACGTATTCTCAAGATTTTTAAGGTCACCTAAGGATTTTGGAATATGTTTTATACATCATATGTGTTAGTGCAAACTTACACTCAACTGTCTAAGTGTTTCGCCCACATAAACGGTATTGTATTCACTTGTTCATGCTGCGCTTTGTAGATGTGCATTACAAATGTTATGACTAAATTGAAGTAGGTAATACCAAGGTTTGAATTTACAGAATTTTATTAAGCTTAACATTATTCCATGCACTGTCCTCTAAATTCTATGTGATGGGATATTATTTTATTTTTAAAATCTTTTCTCCCCCTAACTGTGAAACGTTTTGTCGAATGAGAAACAGTAGTAATTTAATTTGCTGATATTGTTTTTGATTTGATATGAAATGTTTAGTCTAAGTAAGTGTATTAATTACGCTTTTCAATATGATCACCGACGTTTTAGTAATTGCCGATGAGTTTATGTCATATGCCCATCAATTCTTTAATAAGCACCATAATCAGTTGTATACTGGGTCATTCAGAAATCGTCAAATGATAAGTCAATAAATGGTTCTTCTCGGGGGGTAAGACATGAACCTTAGATAGACTTGATATCCAAAGGGATATATATATGAGTTCACCGAAAGGTTGTTCAAATCAACTGTCCTCTTTACTCTCATTTCTCTTCTCGAATGCTCGGGCTCGTAAACCGAAAGAATATGAAACATAAGTCTAGGATACCGCACGTCACAAAATTCAGTTAATTTTTGAATATTCCCTACTGGATTAAAATCATTGTTTAAATTACAAAAGGTAACAAAGCAACTCAAAAGAAAAGTCTTCTCTACTGTTGTAGTGCCTCCACAAATATTTGAATTCGCTTACATTTAATTTGGTCAAGCCTTTCGATTAATTTATTTAACCAAGAAATTTGTAAAACAACAACTCATATGTACACCATTGGTATTTTTTATTGTCTTGTTTGTATGAGCTTGTACGACTGAGCATTGCTTACGCCTACGCGCATATTCATCTTATTCGCTTTAATGTTAATCTCTTAAATACCTCGATGACTCAAACATTTTCCTTTGTATATATACGAACATTTAAATCTTATGAATTTATTCGCACATTCGCTCGCTATGTGGTGCGCGCTACTTATAAGTAGTATATGACGCGAGTGTAAACGTAATGTCTGGCAGGAAGGAAGAGTGGGAACACAGTGGAATTTCTATGAAACGCATGAATAGTGAAATGTCAGACAATGGATTGAAGATTTGCAAATTAACGGTTACAATATGGTTTTCCTATTTTACTGAGTAACTCTGTAATTATCGTTAAATACAATTCGGTTGCCCTCACCTGTGTTCTCCTTCACTACAGCTAGTGTGCTTGCCCGGTCTGCTAGTAGTTTGCTGATCTATTTGTGGTGTGTCAAAAATAAACGTATTCAACACTTCGAGCTCACCTTCAAATTTATAAACCGTCAGACGCCATTTAGTAACGATTGTCTGGACGAGCTAATTACGAAGCTTAAAGAATATGTCGAAATCGGCCACCACACTGTTGCTGTTTTTGTTTGCGCTGAAATCTATGAACGTGTGTTATACATTTGCATATCAGACCAATGTTAATTTTCCATGAAGGTTTGCTTTATATTTTCTAGTTAAAATAATCTGCTGACAGATGAATTTATATTTGGAGAAATAATTGTCGTCAAAAAAAGAAATACTTACCAATTATTCTGTCTAAAGCAGCTAAACTTGTATGTTGGTGTAATTTACAATCTTTTAAAAATTGACAGAACTGAACATAACGCAGTATAATTGTATTATCTGGTAATTGTTTAATACCAAGTTTACCATAAAATCTATATATACTGCGTAATAGAGTCAAATAAGCGGTTATCACATTTTGCATCTTAAAAAAAGGAAACAAAGATTAAATTTTAGAAGAGAAATCATTTTGAAAAAAAAAAGGATAAATACTGTTGTGTTAAATGTGTCTATAACTAGTTAATTGCATAGTGTTAAAGGTAAATGATCTCAAATGAAAATTATTGACTTCTAGCGCTACATATTTATCACCATTTAGGATTGCGATTTATTAGGTCATTGAACAATGTAAAACAGCATTAAAAATTTTTATTGTAAATGGTCTAACTACTAAATTACTGGTTAAAAGTAATGCTCATCATAAACCGATAGCTATCAAAACAAAAGGTTTGTAACAGCCCATACCTATGACGAAATATGAGATTAGACGTTAGACTGATAGGTCTCTATGAGGACGATACGAATATGCCATTGAAAATGAAAATCCTATCAGCTGAATTCTACCTCTTGATTAAGTTTTATGATCGTTACAATATCTGAAAATCCTAGATGTCATACTGAGTCAGTTTGTAGCTGTGATGCATAGAGTAATGTTATACTGAACTTATTACCCTTGGAGTTCGTTATGATCAAACCTTTATTTGAATGATGAGAGAAACTTCAATGTAACCATTTTCAGGATCGATCAATATGGGGAAAATTTCCACATTATAAATCAGTGTAAATTGTAGCAAAAGTAATGCGTAACAAACCAAAGGAATTTCTAAATTGTGGATACAAACGAATTGATCAAAATAAAAACTTACATTCTGTAATTCTGATGGAGTATAATCTGACGGTGATATATGGGGTTTCAGATAATTTTCCAATAAATTACTATCTGAAGTATCCTTGAGTACATTAGTTTTATCGACAGGATTAGAAAAACATTCTAAAAAAGAAAATCAAAATATAGCTACAAAATCTTCATCATTAATAGGTCAAAACATAATATTACTGTCTTATTATGAAAAAAGTTTACACTAAAACCAAAGCAATTCGTGTAAACACACAGCATGATACCACAAAGTTTTACTCCAAAAAGAATGCCAATAGAAATCAGTATATACTGATTTTAACTAAATCGTCCCTTAATTGAAAAATAAATGCCAATCAATATGGTACGATTTCTATAACATCATAGAGTAGACACGGAAAATATTCATGAAAACTGAAATATCAAAATGAAAGGTGATAAACTATCTGTTTGGTATAATGTTTAAAACCACAACTCAGACGCGTAGATAATACAAAAAAATACTCATAAACACAAAGTAAAGTATTTAAAAGCACTTAAAATAAGTCTCGGTAGGAATATTACGTATAGTTTAAAAATTAATAGCTTGAACGCTTAAGTCCCCGAGAACGTTGTGATTAGATTTTAACTTTGGACAGAGATCAAGAATTTCAGTTTCAGCTGCCTGTGAAGCATTTTTTGGATACCTAGAATTATTAAAAGGACACTGTTAGACACTGACTGCAGTTCTCGCTTACAGAGTTGAAGATTTTGGCTAGCTTAACAACGCTACTTAAATCACACAAAAGTTTCTGAAAAGTTTGAGCATAGTCTTTGTCATAAAAAGTAATTAAACATACTAGCTACATATTGGTCAAACAGGTTCACCTAATAGGTCAAAACCACATACACAAACTGGTATGATGACACCAAACCCATTCAGTCAGTCAGCCAGTCAGCAACAACGTGGAACTTCGTGTGAATATACATCAGTTCACGTTGCAAAACGACATTAGCAAAGAGACGCAAATGTCGATTTGAATCCCATCGTGGTAGTGTCAGTAATCTGCACTAAAATTCTCATCTCTTGTTACTGAAAAAACATTTAAATCTATTCCATTTAATTGTGTTAGAAAAAGGTGGGCTTATAATGTAACTTTCTGTTGGTCATCTGTTTTGCAAATTTGTATTTGAACTTAACAAATGAAGGTTGGAAATAGAGACTAAGAAGACTTCTGTTAAACTTTCATGTTCCGATGGAATGTATAATTTTTCCATTGAATATTTTTAACATTCTTTTGAATTAAGATCAGTACTGATTGAAAGTTTTCAGTTTTGATAGCCCATGACTGATACAGAATATTTGCGAAAGACTGAGAATTCGGTTTATCTTTACGTGTCAATTATTTACCAGGTGACTGAGTGATTTGATCATTGATTTGAGCTATATATCATGTTTAATGTAAAATTAAATAGTTTCACACAAAAATGTAACATTCACATTTCCAACTACTATAAGTAAACCACTTGATTAGTCTGTTAGTGAATATTGCTTAAATAAAGATTAGACTTGATATTTTCTTTTTTATTATTACGCATACAGAGTTTTAAACCTGACAAAATGTCAAACTGTTAACATTTGTCCTACCAATTCAGATATTTTATTTTGTATTTATCTATTAGTAGTAAAAGAATATGCATTAAAAAAATACTTTATCATTTATTCAACACGTATTATCTTATTACCTGATAACATGATCAGTTTACCTGTTACAATTGGTATGCGTGTATCTAATCTCTCTAAACTTGGTTGATCAGCACTTGGTGGTGGTAATGAGTTAGAATCTGAGTCTATTAAACGATCCTCGTAAAATGTTCTTTCAAATATTCGTCCATCTTTAAGTATCAGTGTACCCTTTAGAAAATAATATTTGTAGTGAAAATAAGCATATGAAATTATTGGCAATTATTTAAAAAAATACCCATAAGCGGTAATTAAACTGTAAGTAAATTTATGAATAATTATATCCTTTTACATGTGAATATCTGCAATAAATCAGCTGCAGTACATTTAAAATTAATCCGATTTCATTTGGAAAATTACGCTGGTGTAGAGGATACTATTTCGAAAGTGGTATCTAATAAGTAATATGCACCGGAGTGTCACCCAGAAATTACTACCAGAAGAGAACAGTGTCCGATCCGAATACATACTTAGTTAGTTAGTTACGCCTGTCACCTCCAGTGGAGCATAGGCGATAAGAATTTAATCAAGTCGATTCCTTCCGAGAAATTTAAAGCAATTAGTCCCTTTGATAAATATTGATAAAACAATGAGATGACGGAATCGATCTGAAAAATTTGATGTATTTGTGCTATACATTTCGAAATGTTTAGTCACCAGAATTGTTCTGTCAAAATATGTCATTTCCATTTATAAAAATGTTGCTTGTAGAACATTATGTAACATAGCAAAACAACAAACTGCAGTTACTAGTAGAAACTTTGAGGAGATATACGGAGCAAAATGAATCATGTTTTTAAGAGGTGGTTCACAAAATCTAGGCAAGAAAATGGATTGAAATTAAATGGAAATTTTGTAAGTTATCAATTTCTGAAAACACATAGAGTACGATGATAGGTCAGGATTGGGCACGATTTCACCTTAATCAACCATGAATGCAAGCACGTACGACTGTAATAATAAACTCTATTTCAGACATCACATCATGTAGGATTTTCAATACAAATGTCAAGACAGTTCTACTGGATGGAGCGGAAACTTGGAGAACTACCAAAGACATCACCGAGAAGATACAAGTGTTTATTAACAGTTGTCTACGCAAAATACTTCGCATTCGTTGGCCAGACACCATCAGCAACAACGTACTGTGGGAGAGAACAAATCAGATTCCAGTGGAGGAGGAAATCAGGAAGAAGCCGTGGAAGTGGAACGGAAACACTGCGAAAAGCAACCAACTGCGTCACGAGACAAGCCCTCACATGGAACCCTCAAGGCAAAAGGAAGAGAGGAAGGCCAAAGAACACATTACGCCGAGATATGAGAGGAATGAACAAACACTGGACAGAACTGGAGAGGAAAACCCAGTACAGAGTTGGTAGGAGAAAACTGGTGGGTGTCGTATTTTCTTTTAGGGGTAACAGGCGTAAGTAAGTAAGTAAAAGCATTTGAGCCAGGTTTCGTTACTACCGACATAGGTTAGAGAACATTGCGCATTTTAAATAATAGTATAAATAACGAGCAAATATTGGTAAAATTCTTTTAGGGTTGAAAATTGCTGGCTATTAGTGGAGAAAAATGTGACTCATCGTAATACTCGTTTATTAAAATACCTAGAAGATCTCAACGCTTTTAAAAGACTATTAATAATGCCTGTTTGCATGCGCTTATAGATCACATTAACCATAGTTGTCTAGTTAATTTTCTTTCTGCTTTTTTTTAATAGCTTGTCAGGTAATATCGTTTTCCAATGAAAACAGTCTCCAAGAATGTGTATAATTTTCAAAATTGAATGTCCTGAATGAAAACGGAAAAATTAAACAGAAAAAGACTTATCAAGTAACACCTAAAATTATAAATGCTAAGCTTACTTTTCCATGTTTCAGATCGTCTTTCCAATAACCGACATATTTAGATCCATTAGGATAATGAAATGTTCCGAGTCCATTACGTTTACCATTTGCCCATTGACCATCATATACATTAGGCAAAGAATATTGTGATGTTCGAACACGGAGAATATGCCACGCATGACAACCTAATCCATGCTAACAATGTAGTGATAGTGAATGTCACTTATGAGAAATGTCAAGCTAATATCCAAATTTTTAACAAAATGAAGATGATAAATTAAAAGTATTATGTCAGCGTTGGCTAGTTTAACAGTTCAGTTTAATAACGAATAAATGCTAATACATTTAAGGACTTAACAAGATACCGACCAAAGAAAATCAAGAATCTCAGCCTCCGTTTCGTTTTGGTCTAGATTTTATGCTTTGTAAACATTGATGACTCCAATGAAAGTGTGATTCAACATCTCTAGACACTTCAGTGAGCTACATACTTTACACTTTTTGATTTAAATTTAAATAAATAAATTTTTCAACCTTAGTCAATCATTAATTATAATATGGCTATTATCCGAGTTCCATTACGTGATAAAACCTTACTTCAGATTTAAAATAATCTTAACAAGATACTTAAATAATAAACAAATGTGGATTGATTAGGGACTTTCATTGAGATTTATTTTAAAATAATTCTCTGGAAATATGTTCCCTTTGACATCAATTCAGTCAGAAGTAAGGATAACATCCATTGTTAAAACTAACTGATGACTGCAATCTATAGCAAACAGATCAAATATTGAAAGTTATTACAAGACTTGAATTTCTTAGACTGAATATTCTATTTCATCATAGGTATACACTTATATGACGCTAAGAATTCGGAAAGACTTTCCGCATGATGTACCTTAAATTTTACTGATCTTCTAGTTGATGTCAATCTCTCATTTAGATAATCTTCAGTTACTTATCTCAATTATCGTACATATTTTTTTATTATTAGTTCCTTATTGTACACGCTACTATGTATTAATTTACGCGTAAATATGCTTCTCAATTGACGAGTATCGTTACCAACAAACTGGCATATTATGAGGTTATAGAAAGCGTTTTCTGTTTTTATAGGCAAAATGTGATAATGTAAAAATAAAAATCTGCTTTCTGGTAGCTTTTCATTTTACAACTGTCATATTAGTCTAATTCACTGTCCTGTATTTTGAACACTGTTTCACTAGAACAAAGTTGTTGTATTACGGAATTCCTTCAAATATTTAGTTATCTCATTCAATATCTGAAGGTCAAGTGATTTAAGTCATTTTAATGTTTTTGAACTAGCTCTTTTGTTACTAGCCAAACACATCCATAGAAGTGTAAACATTATATGAATACTCTACTAGAATCAAATGTCTATATTTCTCACAGCTTGAAAGTTCTATTTACCTGTTTTCCATTGATCCAACTTCCCGTATAAATTTCATCACGATCTTTCCAGTGCATCGTTCCTTCTCCATGGCGTTTACCATCTTTCCATTGTCCTTCATAGGTTGCCCGGTTAGAGTAGTGATACACTCCGTAACCTTGACGTAGTCCGGAATTCCATTCACCATCATAGTGACTAGAACCATCAGTTGTGTAGTTTAGACGACCCTGAAATTTCAATTTTGACGTTTTTATAGATTATTCATCATCTGTGTAAGTTTTCCATAAAATTGCTTATTAAATGTTATATTACGTAGTTATGCATTAAGAACCACCTAGTTATAGTACCTCTTCTGTTCAGAAGAACACTACTTGTTGTGACACTGTAAGTTGAGTGGATTATTGACGGCATTGGTTTTATCGCTGTAAAATATGAATATTGTCCTGTTTGGAACATAAATGGTGGTCTGCGGGAAAGAGCCTTTAGAGTTGCTTATTTACACTAACACACCAATTATTCCATAATTTCCTGAAGTTGTGAAAGGTGAGACAACCAATAAAGATAAGAGGGTATTTAGTTAACTTTAAATCTTGTTTCATACCGCCACATCAATGTGAGACTAGTCGAAATACAAATCATTTAAAAGTTCATGAAGGTTTTCATGGAACACTTTGACTGTTACGCTCGAAAAGTCCCAACATTTTTACAACAACCATTGTTTATCAACAAAAAATTAAACTCGAATGGTCAATAACTTTATCATTCAAACGTATGTCCACATGTTTTCGATAGTTTGCTGCTTGATGAGTCAACTATAATTCCCTGAAAACTAAGCATTTTGTAATGTTTAATAGCAGTGTAATTGATAAGGTAACATAGAATCATGAACAGTTTTTGGAGTTCCATTAGTGATCTCCTCCAAATAAGAATTTCCGGTTAGTTCGTAAAATACGACTATTATGCAGTTAAGGCGAAAATAAACACCCAATGATCTATTGATTTTTCGATTAACAAACAAAGCTATCGCCTTTTAATTAAGATTTATCCGTGCACTATGATAGTTATTGACAAATTTGTTATCGTTGCTACGAGGTTGTTGCCAAAAATATAAAGATGGATATATGTACACTTACTTTTCCCTGCTTCTTTCCATTCTTCCACTGACCAGTATATTGGAGACCGTTAGAGTCAGTATAAGTGCCAACCCCATCTCGGATCCCATCAATCACATCGCCGATATATTCACTAAGCATTTAACAAAGTAAAGTTATTTTTCGACAGAGGAACCTTTTATTTGGCCAAATAATTTTCCCACGCCCAGTAATTTTATTCTCCTTAAAGTCACCAATATACGTCAAACCTGTTTCATCCCAAAGGAACTCACCACGACCATGTAGCATATCCTTAATGGTTTGCCCCTTTATTGTGTGAAGAAAAATTTAAGGAATCTGTAGCAGTCTGGGTTTCGTTTTTAAATGGAGTATAAATGCTCAGATAAAATATAAAATGGTTGTTACTAATTAAACGAATAACAGATCAAGATAAAACTTATAAATACGTTTGAAGAGGTGTTATCTTTGGGATATATTGTTGCATCAAACATTGTAGCTTAACTATTAACACTTATTAATTGAATAATTTTTTCAATAATGAACTGAGATGTATTTATTACCGGTCATCTCTAAAAGCAGACTATCACGGCACCTTGAAAAAGGTTTATAAAAGCAACAGAAGTAGGTTATTATTTATTTTGAAGCCCTAGTCGACAGACCGACATGTAATGAGAATTTAGCACAAGGGAATGTATGCGTTTTATCGGCCAGACATATGTGAAGATAGAAATAAGATAGAAAGTAACTAAAATATGCATTAGAATTAGTTTTTGTTAGATCCAGAAAATATTGAGAAATATAAGAGCGAGAAAACAATATTAATCAGAGCAGATATCTGAGACGAAAAAAAAGAATTGAAAACAAACAAACAAATGAGTACAAGTAAATAAATAAAGTAACGAATTATAAGCATCCAGAAGTTGTAATAAGCGACGACATTCGAATTACGAATAAATGTAGGTCTACCGTTGTCACGAGCTTCACAGTCTTATATGCTATTCGTAAACCATTTCTTTTCAGAGATGAAGAGGTTTAAGTATTTAACTCGACATCAGTGAGGCCGCATTTAGAATAGTTGATTCAAACATCCTGTCCTTGTTTCAATCATAAAGTGGATTTACTATAGCGCGTTCAGCGGCATGGATTCAAAATACTGAAAGGTCTCATCGATCTATCTGGTAAAGACGAACTGAGACGCTTTAATCTGCCTCTGTTATCTTACCGCAGACTCTGGGGTGATTTATCACTGGCTTACCATATAAGGATATTCTGAGGAGACATTCTAAGAAAGTCCGAATCCCGAGGTCAAATGATTTATATTTGGGGTTCAGTTTGTCAGAAGGAGTGATGGTTTGCGGACAGTCTTTCAGAACACGTGAAATCAACATCTTTTATGGAAGTATTGAAGGCAATAAGATCTTTAGGGTTCTAAGAATTATGAGGATTTCTAACTTTACTATTGAACTATGACAATGAAGGACTGAGCTGCTCCTTCTCGACAGCCTTAATATAATTATGCATTCTTTCTTACCACTTTATTAATGAGTTTTATTTTTGTTCATAACTTTATTCTTTCCATATATTTTATTTTATGTCTAGCTTTTCTTGATCAGTGTGCTAATTGAAAGTTGATAGACTTAGTATGATACTCAAGGATAGCACAGTTTAGTATTCTATATGAGAATATCGATACATTTCAGTAGTATGCATCAAATTAAAAACTCTGATATTCCACAATAATTTTCCGAGGAAACTATGAAAAGTTTTATCCACTGACAAAGAACTACTAGAATTTTCTGGAATCAGGTGAGAACCCCGCCCCCCAAATTCATAAATAAACATCATGGATAAACCAATAAGGTCATCAAAGCCTTTTTAGGAAAATCTTTAAATGTCCTACACGAAATATTTTTTACGTTCTCGTAGTAAAGTGTTATTAAATTAATGTATTATTTATAGAAAATAACTAAAATATTTTATCACAACAAACTTCGTATATATTTCCATTGTTGTAGGTTATTTCATCTACCAATCCATAAGGCTTTTTGAATTCGCGAGAACATCTTAACAGTTGAGAAAAACTATGAAAATAGTACCGGTGAACAATAGCTGGATATAGATCGAATAACTGCACATAGTTAGTCAACTCTGCACCGTTTGTGCAGGAAGTTGCTGGAACGCCATTTGACAAGGTTTCCTCTTCTAAATTGACGATATTCTCTTCATCGTCCAGTATTTCGATCTTCGGTGTAGGTGGGCTAGCCATTTTAAATCTGTAAAAGCTATTTTACCATAACATTCCAAAAATGGAAAGTTTAAACAAATAAAATGACTAACACGTTTTCACGGTTTTGAAAAAGATTGTTGAATTTTTCATCGCTGATTTTTCGTACGCTTTAAATTGATAATGCACATCATTACTGATCTTTACATTTTGACTGGATCCAATATATCCAATATCTTTTCCTGTAGCTAGTATAAACCAATGAATTTCTTTGCACCCGATTCTAGTTCTTTCATTACGGTCCCAGGCACTTAATAGTGTCCAATGAATTGTGGTCTAGCCACTCAGCTGCACTAATTCTAGTCAGTCGGCAGCTGTTTGTGATTCGAGTACGTCTTTTTCAGAGTAGTAGGATTCCTGGCTGCCGGCAGCTAACACGTTACTAGGCCGAAGATCAGCTCGTTGCATTGTGAAAAATAATAAGGAGAAAAGTCTAATGCTGATAAGAAAGTTTCAGAACTAAGTAAATGTGAATGGATTTTAAAGTTAATTAATTGGCAGGGAAGATTGTGCGAGATGATCGAAATGTTAGCGAAGGTAACGAAACAGAGACAATAAGCTAGATTAGTTAAGTTATTGATCTGAGGAAGTTGCAGTTTTGATAACCAGCGAATCCGAAGACATGTCTCAGACACAGATGGTTCAAGAGGGGAGATGATAATTCGTATGATAGTACGTTTTTTTTGTTTCTTCTTAAAACTATTGACTGAACGTTCTATGGTCATCTCGGCTTGGAGAGCATTTGAAGCTGCAACAACTGTTAATGGGGAAAAGTATGTATGAACCTGGGTGTTTGCGCTCTGATACGATTTTTGGAGGATTACCTCCAGGGGTCTGGTTGTGCTTCCGCAAGATGCTTATGTCTGAGATAATTTGGCGTGAAGAATATGTTGTACGCCAACACCTCCGATAGAATCCGTTTACAGTAAAACCAAGAGTATCATTTCATTTAAGAGGAATTTTTGTATCCATGCACTTAATGAATACGATAGTCTTCGTATCAATTCAATTACCGAAACTAAAATTCGCGTGTACCTCAACTCTTTTGGTCGTCTGGTTCAGCCGCTGTGGTCTTCAGTGGAATTTATCCGAAAATGTTTGATTGGTGGGCTGAATACGTATAATAAATAGTTACCAGCACACAGGCTGTTGGCATTTGGTGGAGAAACTGCATGAGATTCGATGTGCGTAGAAGTTAGTACTTGTAAGTGTTCATGAATCTAACAACGGTAGCTTCCAAAACGTTTAGTGAACGTGGATTTGTGTTTTTGGGCCAGAACTGCTGCTCCGAGTCAGGTGGCTTGTTGTCGAAGGCTTCTGATGAAGTCTACCGAAAGGACATTAACAATCACAGCCTGGATGAATCTAACGATGCATACCCAGTCGATGCAGAAATTGAAATGCAGTCATCACAAGTAAGCCTAAAGTTGATTGAACCACGTTAACTAAAAAATGGAGAAACCCTTTCAGAGTGTCCTTCCAAAAATAAAAAATAAAACCACGAGTTTCTCCCTTAGTATGTCCTTGAAGTGGTCGCGGTCATTATTTAGTGGGAAAGCAACAGAAGTATGGCCTTTCATTAAGTCATGGACAGAGAGAGCTCTGAGCCCAGAACTCGCTTTAGGCATGAATTCGGGATAATAAAAGTTTGCTTAACCGGTCTTTGTCCTAGGAAGCCTTGGGGTCACGTCAGACAAGGTAGACAAGGTAGCTAGATAGGCTTGAAAGAAAATCTAATTAGTTTGGTTAAAGTGGTATTTACATCCTCCCCTGAGATCGACTGCGCAGTACAGGACTCACAAAGTTATTAGATGAGGAGCTAAAAATAGCATAAAGTAAATTACATTTTAGTGGAAAGGGTCCTGTAATTGTAAGTCTACAAGTGCTTCAGCCTCAACAGTTGATGATGAAGGCAGTTTGGTCGTAGAACGAAGCCGTTTACATGGCATTCGAATCTTTAAAAAGTTGGTGAACGGAGTATGATTTTTCTCTTTAATCTAAACACCTCCCTTATCACACATGTTTTCTGTGGCTACATCCCAAGTATTGGCGTTCCATAAATGAAAAATCTATGAGGAGATTGGACGATAGAGTGGATGGTTCGTATGTTAACAGATATCATTCTAGAGAGAACGTCACTGTTGGTTTAAAACTAGCGTACTTGACAGTTACAGCAATGATTCAGGTTATGAAGATCAACACCTTGAAAACTTTACATCAATCTAAAATATATTACAGTAGTGTGAATTTAGATTTTTTAAATGCAAAATACTAATTTTTACACCAGTGCCGAAGAACCCAACTCATAAAAAATGTATAAACATTATTAAAAGTGTCGTCCGGCGGAACACTGAAAACCGTAATTTGAGAATAAATATTATTATTATTATAAAAAGAGAGAAACAGGATACAACTAGCAGAACAACTTGAATGATGCACACCAATCTTCTGCGATAACGTTCCGTGCTTCTAGAGTGTGGTATAACTTTAGATTGTAAGCATTCAACCATAATAATAATAACTTGTTCTTAAAAGCCACACAATAATATTTTATTGCTTGATCCGAAATACAACATTATTTTTACTAAAAGTTACTGCTGAGAAGCCAGTTTACAGCAAAACCCAACTGTGAAATATATTGCGGTATATTACTCAGTAATATGAACTACTGAATTCGTTCGACGCGTTACGACGAAATTTTTACTACTGAAGCAGCCTGGTAAGAATGAAACCCACGAAATGAAAAGATAGCTCGTTTTGTGTATGCTGCGTTACAAAAATGGGCTGTTTTTATATACTGAAACATCTCAAAGTTTTTGTCAACCATGCTTGTGTTGACAGAAGTTTCCGAATGGAGTAATTGCAGTGGTGCCTCAACAAATCTCATAAGTCTAGTTAGCCAGTCGAGATTTCATTGCTGTCTATACTGTCCATACTATCCATACATCGGGTCTCAAGTATAAAAATAGTTAGGATTCAAACCCAATCGCCACCGACTTTCCTAACTACGATGAACATGTTCACTCCTTTAATGTCATGTGATGTGCCCCTAGCCTCTCCAAATTGTAAGACTGATAATATTAAGAACATGTCAGACCAACATCTGATCGTGAGCACAAATAATTATTATCCAAGAGCTAGGTACACTGCCCAACCACCTAATCCTAGAATTATAAGTGAAAGTGCAAATGGAAGATTTTTCACCCCTCACCCTATCCTAAATACCCGGGTTTTTATTCGCAAAAACGCTGAGAATGATAACTCCATGCGTCCTGCTCTACCAAGCCAGCTGATAAACATGACCCCCCAAATTTATAAAAGGCCATAACAACTGGCACTCGTATATGGCTAACCCTCCCCAAGTTAAAACCATTCCGTATAAATTTAACCTGATTAACGAGCTGTGTCATCAAGACATTACTAGAAACGGTGGTGAACTGCAATGCCAGCCGAATCAAAGTTTTCAACGGGATACAGCCACTTGTGGTACCTCTTGCGCGACATATAGCTCAAATCATTTCATACCACATACAGAATATAAAAGCACTCTCCTCGCACAATCTCAAACAGACAACATTCTCCCCCTTTCCCTCGGGCTAACAACCCCTCCTGTAAATTTCAGTAATTTAATAACATGTCCCCCCTAACTCCTCATACCACAATCACTTAGGTCATAGTAACTCCTTTACTCAAGATACCCTAAGCTATTTTAGCTTAGCGGGACATCTGTTTAATATATGGCTTATTAATGCTCGTTCAATCTGTAATAAAAAGACAGAACTAGTCATGTTTGCTACTATCTGCCAACCATCACTTATTATGATAACTGAGACATGGGCCTGTAGTAATATTTCTGATCTTACTAGATCTTTTGAAAACTATAATCTATTTCAAAGTGATAGGTTACAAGGAAGAGGTGGAGGATGCCTTATATATGCCCACTCTAGCCTAAACTCGCTCTTATGTGATATATCGGCACTAAACAGATTGCGAGACTCTGTATGGATCGTTCAGAAACCTTCAAATGCCGTTTTCTTACTGTTCGGCTGTGTCTATCGACAGCCTGATGCACCAACAGGAGATCTAGCATTATTGTCAGAAGTATTCACGTTTGTTTCAACCCTACTGTTCACAAGCAAGGCTATTTGTGGGGACTTCAACATGCCTGAAATCTCTTGGTTTCCAATCAAAGCATCTTGACGATTCGAACCATTTATTGAATGCTTAGAGCTTGGACTCAACATGTTAACGGCCCAACCAGAAATGAAAATACATTGGATTTAGTTTTCACCAGCAATCTGATTCTTCACACTGTATATGTTGGAAAAAAGTTCCCAGGTAGCGATCATAATATGGTCATATGCAGCCTTGATATAGGAGCTACAACTATAAAATATAAATCCGCTACACTTCGTAGGGAATTTCGTAGGATTGATAGGTCAAACTTCCGCAATTGCCTCAGAAGTATTGACTGGACAAACTACTTGACCACACACAACATCGACGAACTAATGAATGTATTTTATCACAACACAAATAGCATTTTCAAAAAATTTGCACCTTTAGAATCCTGAAGATCCAGAATTCCTAAGGACTTATATATGCCAGGTTATATACGAAAACGTCTTCGGAAACACGCTTCCAGATTTCATAACTGTAATGACTTCTCCTCATTAGTAACGATGACTGAAATATGTGTCGAGGCAGAAATAACACGTACTAAAAAGGCAATCGCAAAAGGAAAGCGTGCTGTTCAGCTGAACAATGAATCCTCTGAACTTATACAACTCCTTCGGAATAAACTCAAATGCTCCAAAGTGTGAGGAGGGAGCATATTTATTGAGGACAATCGAGTGTATGAAGACCCTAAAAGTATCGCAGAGTTGTTTAGCGAACATTTTTGTTCCACATTAACCAACGAAAACTCAACAAATGAGTCACACCTGACCAAAACTCCTTCCTGTGAAATCGCCAGTGTTGAATTTAGTGTACAGAACATTTCTAAGGCGATTAGTACACTGAAGCACTCTTACACTGAAGGACCAGATTGCGTCCCAGCCAGCATGCTGAAAAATGGTAGCAATGACCTGTGTGTTATTCTTCTCAAACTATTTACTATGTCTCTCCCCACGGAGTGTTACCCTAATAACTGGAAGACTACACATATCATCCCCACTATAAAATCTGGGCCTACAGCGAACGTTGAAGACAAAGGGCTTCTAGTATCAGTCCTTTTCTTTGATTTTAAAAAGGCTTTTGATAAAGTCCCACATAAAAGGCTCTTACTTAAACTAAAGTCATTCGGAAGCATTAACCCACTAAATTCATGGTTTGCTTCTTACTAAATGGGCGACAACAAATGGTTAAGTACAACGGCTGTCTTTCATCACCAAGACCAATAACCAGTGGAGATATCCGAGGAAATGTATTAGGTCCACTCTTGTTTCCGATGTACATAAACGATATATTTAATACAATAAGATTTGGAAGAGCATACTTATATGCTGATGACCTGAAAATAGTATACAGCTATAAGCCTGAAGATCTGGACGGAAATATAGCCAGGATCCCGAGTGATCTTGATAACTTGACTACCTGGAGCGAGACATGGCAACTGCCGTTTAACCACAACAAATGTGGCATAATTCATTTTAGCAAGCGTCACCTTGATACACCACTCTACTTACAAAAATGTAGGGTTCAGACACTTATATCAGCGCGTGACCTTGGTATTAGTTACTCTAAAAGCCTAAAATTCGAAGAACATGCCTCAAATATTATCTCTAAATCTAGACGACTAATTGGGTTTATAAACAAGAACTTCATGACGAGTGAGGCTAAGCTTACTCTCTTCAAAATCTGTATAAGGCCCACACTTGAATATTGTTCACTCATCTTTTCAAACTTGAATATCATGGACAAAATGCGAGTAGAAAATGTACAAAGAAGCTTCACCCGGCGACTGCTCGGATTGAGCCATAACCTCGACTACACAGAAAGATGCAAGCATCTTTCCCTAGAACCTCTATGGCGCCGTCGTCTCAAAAACAACCTAATGCTCCTCTATAAACTAATAAATGGTCTTTCGTTCGTAAAATACCGTCCAATTATGAACCACAACACTGCTTACAGATTTAAAAACAACGCATATACACTGATAACGGCAAAACAAAAAATCATTGCGTTGTAGTTTCTTTTTAATACGATACAGTCTATTGTGAAACAGGTTACCAATTACTATCCGTATCTGTGACACAATCACTAAGTTCAAGAAACTAGTCATGCTGTTGCTAGACTCTAAAGGGATATATCGACTATTCCCGGAACTCACACTTAGCCCTCAGGCACTCTTTTATGGTCCACCAAATATTTAGATGAACCTCGGAAACGAATTATAGACTATGAACATATTGTGTCCTCATTACCACCCATACATGTATCACGAAATGATAGACAAATCGCCCTGCACCTACTAACAGTAATAGGTTGCGCCTTTAAGGTGCTACCCGTGACTTTTCTCTGAATTTAAATTCCAATCATTATTTTCATATCTTCAAAGCAGTTTTAGTTTTTATTTCTAGCAGACAGACAAACTGAAAAGCCTGTAGATGCTGATCAACTACTGTCAATTACAAGGAACTCAAACACCGTGTATCACTGTGAGTATCTTCTTACTTAAGTATTAACAGTTTAACTAATTTTTACTTCCCAAATTCTTTAACATCCAAACACCTTGCCTGCTTACCAACTTATCGCTTTACTCACTAATTTTTAACATTATATCAACTTTTTTTCCTCTTTCTCCTCGTTCCAGCTCCCTGTCCTTCCTATTTCCAAACTACTACCTATTAACTGACTCATCTTACAAATTATACCATTCCTTTACTTAAACTCAGTCCGGCATGCTACGTGGATATATTGTCTGGGAAAGTTGTCTGGATTGCTCGTAATGTGTAGCTAGTAGAGAAAGTTAATTCCGATAAGGTTTACAAAAAAATTGAAAGTAGACTAGAGACCATTATTTACAATCAACCATTAAACGTAAGAGAGCATAACATCACAAAAGGAGGGAGGGTGGTGTATCTGACCAGCATTCATGATGGTGGGGCGATAACCCCAACCTACACATGTCTATGTGGCAGAACATTTTGTTTGCTTACGGCTCCTTATGATATAGCAGGCTGTAACAAGTCAGTGATATTGATGTTACTTTTCCTTGTTAACCTCGTCTAAGACTCATGTCCGTAACCATGCACTGGTACTAACTTCCTACCGAGAAATCCTATTACAAGCTGGTCTGGACAGTTATACAGATAAAGAGCTCATTCATAACTTCTTGACCCACAGAGTTAAAAATAAAAAGAATAAATAAAATAAAAACATTATATCACTGAGCCTCTATTATATTTTGTGAATCAACATTATTACTAACAACTCGGTTTTTCTGAATTTCCTCTATTCATACGACTAACTTCCCGTTAATTATCTCACTACTGAATTGCCTTCAGTAACCTACATAAGTGCAGGTGTACAGTTAGTGTTCTGATATTAAAAAGTCTGAGTAAATATACCTTTGTTTTATCCAGAAACGTATGTGCTGAGTCATTGTTCGTCTATGAACAGGGATATTTTCTACTCTGCGCCTCGCCCCTTTTTTTTCTCTTTTTTCAGTGACTGTTCACCGCATTAAAAGAAATATGTTGTCGAACTTAAGATTTTGATCTTGTCTGTAAATTGGTATGCCTCTTGTAAAATGTTCGTTATTTGAGAATAAATTATTATTATTACTACTATATGTATAAAGATTTCATCCATTTTATCTTGACTTACTACTGTATTGACTACTTCAACATGACAGGTTAAGTAGTGCTTTGGTTATATATATACACTTGCCACACTGCTGCCTTTTTCTCTCTCTCTCTTCTCCTTTTCAGAACCCCATTCACGGTGGGAAATCCTTGGCGACTCTAGGGAACATACACCCTATGTACATGACTGTCTGGATCACAGCTCGTATCAAGCGCGTTCCATTTGGCCTTTCCCAACAAATTCACTATTTATCTCGACAAATCGCCAAAAGAACCTATTGTGCACCTTCCTTATTTGTACCCAACCATTGAAAATGTGGCTGAATTGTACTGTTTCTGTCAGTGACATGGTGTAAATTTGCTATCAGAAACTGACTCTTATACTTAATTTAACTGCTTTAACTTTTACATTAAATGTGAAAGCATTTGTGACAATTTGATCTAGCCTGTAAACTGGCGTGACTCTTGTAACGTAGTTATTTCAGAATAAATAATATATTTGCTCTCACTGATAATATAAATTCATCTAAACTAGACTAGAAATAATTTCTTCAAATTCGACAAACTGACGGGATGGGCATATGAGGCCTTAAAACCATGAGAAGTCTAGGAAAGAAATACGACAGACATTTATTTGAATAAAGCGAATATGAAAAACGAAAATATCAAAAGAAACCTCACACATATACTGCTATGATGTTGCTATACTCCTGACCACACAGAAAGATGCAGACATCTTTCCTTGAAACCATAATAGTGCTGTCGTTCGGAGAACAACCTAGCACTCTCCTATACAGTAATATATGACCTCTCATCCCATCAAGTTCTTAACCACGACACTGCTTACAAACTCAGAAATAGAGCACACTCATGTGATTGGTTTGTACACGTGTTTATAGTCTTCTGACTGGGACATCTACACCATCTTGACGTGAGACTTGAATGCATAGGTTGGGAGGAGGCGAACTGAGAGAAAGAAAAGAAAATGGGAAGAGATTATCAAATAGATGTGCTATGGGCGGTACCATATTCTCACACAACTTCATACGTAAAGCTACATGAGTTTCCCCGATCTCACTACACAGAATCGAAATGATCACGTCTGCATCAATAGAATATTCAATGAACCATGAAGGACATAAGAACAAAGAGAGGAGCCGACATAGCTTCAGACCACCGCTTGTTGGTGACGAAGATGAAACTAAACTGAAGAAGTACTAGACAACTGTTCAAATAGCATTACAAAACTTTGATACGGCCTTCATTTGAGATAATAATATTAGTGTCTTTGTTCAATATTATATGCCTAGTACAATATGGAATTCTCAGGATGGAATATTTTAACAAGTCTCATTTACAAAACAACCAGTGATTGAGAGTTCAAGAGTCGACATCTTACTAACGTTCGCTCTTTCCTCAGCTGATTTCCGGACACTGTGATGCCCCATATTCAACTATTTTGTACCTCGGGAAGCGATAGCTTATAAGCATCTTGTATACACTTCTGGATGGATCGTACGGTTAACTGATGTAAATGACGTGTTGGAAAGGGAAAGGTGACTTATTGACATACTTTTATACTAGCGAAAAGGTAGCCAAAATATTCAAAAAGAACACTTGCAAACTCATCCAGTTCAAGATGGCCCTCAACAATAAGTTCCGAGCCTTTCACGATCTACTTGATTAAGTGGAATCTGCTATAGAGAACAACTAGATTGGGACCAAGGAGGCAATAAAGTTTACTTTTCATGAGGTTCCGGGGCAACAGGAAGCGACATCACCCGGAATAGATACTCTGGATAAGTTTCAAGAAATGAAAGACAGGAAGGCGGCAATCAATATCAGCCATTTGACATATGCTAGCAAACATGCCTCAGCTTTTTGGTGTCTATTAAAATATTTGTGTCTCAGTCCATCAAGGTCTAGAAAGTTCGGTAACTTAAACGCATACTGGTTAAAAAACGTCAATTAATAGCAGTTAACAAAGCCTAATAGTTTGTAACTTGGGGAAGATTAGGGATTTATGACAACTATTTTGGTCTGAAGGATGCATTTAACGGAATTTAGTCCACCAGCAATTCAAGCGAAATCACAGGGTATTTGTAGCTAGACAGTTCCCTTGTAGTGAACGAGAATACATGTGGGGCAACCGGATTGTATTTAGTGAAAATTACAGAGTTACTCAGTAAAATTGGAAAACCATATCGTAAATCGTTAATTTGCAAAATATCAGTTCATCATATCGAACTGGACTGTTCCTGTTGCAAAACATCAATCCATTGTCACTATTCATGCGTTTCATACAAATTCCATTGTGTTCTAACTGTTCCTTTCTCTTGATCTTCCCCCATCTTCTGGTGCCAGACATTACGTTGACACTCACATCATATACTACTTATAAGTAGCTCGCACCACACTCTTACCAAGTTCGTTGGTCATCTATTCTGGCTTACGAAAAACTATGTTGTCTATTCGGTGTTTCTTATAATCGCTTTTAATGACCCGCTACATAAACATATATAATAAATCTAGATGTACGCAAATATATCCAATGTTTGGCAGGTGGCTTGCCTAAATTTTGGATCGTCCTCTTCCCCATAAACAACGTAACCTGGTCTTCTTACCGAGAAGTCAAATTTATAGGTCGTTGAGATTTATAGTATGTGCTGTTCTGAGATCAATAGTTGTTTGCTCATTTTCTAACGGCTGTGAGATGCTTTGCTACACAACATGAATATTCCACACCACATCTTTCTGGAGGCCTCATATTATTCGAGGTGACAAAGAGGGTTATTCCATAAAGAAGGCTTTCAACTGATCGATAATTGTTAGCTAGATTTTTTTGTAGCATATATCTGGGTAAGGGACTATCGACACAAAATACCAGAATTAGAAGTATGGCTGATCAACAAACATTTGTTAAAGACACTTTCACGAATCAAATTCTCTCTAATTTACTTCACCATATTCAACCAGTTCTTGTTTCATTTTCGAAGCACTCCTGCTGAGAAACTATCTTTATCTGAAAATCGTGGTGAACTTAAACATGAAAAGACCCCAGATATTCCAAAACTTCATCATCCACCACCAACAATAATAACAGGGGTAGTCAGAAATTCAAAAGCTAGTGGTGATAAGAATTTCTATTTCCCATAAACCAGTTCTGGCAGAAAGAGGAAGGGGAAGAATGCGTGGATGTAGAGTGTGATTAATTACAATTAACCACTGGTTTGATAACTAGACTCACTTATACTTAGAACTTTCAGCATTGCAGATTTGTTAAAATGTCAACCACTGGACAATAATTAGGATATTACTCTATTCTCATTGGTTACACAAGCTACAAGGAGCAAGGAAATTTACAGCTAAGGTCAATTTGTTACTAATGAAGCGGCATACTGACGGACTGTAACGGGGGTTTTGCTAAAGAAACGGGATAACATAACCAATGTCGGTATGACGAAGATTCTCAACATAAAGATAACGCGTCTTGTGAGCGTTTATTGACAGAAGTAGGATTTCGTTAGCATGTTCCGCAAACGTTCCACAGCCTCTGTGGACTTAAAAAATGATGAATATTTGCGTTCATTCTTTTTGTAGTTAGTTTGCGGGTGGCTGCTGCAAACAAGTTACATGTGAAAATAATTTCTTTCGAGAAAATGAGATTCCATGAGCGACGGAGTTATGCTGTGGTTACATATCTTAAGTATTCTATTATGGCAATTTATTCAAAGTTGATGGACACGTTTAATTTAGATGGTCAGGCCGGTAGTATATTCCACTCTGACATTTTCTTTTATAACGAGAATCCATCCATAACAGGAAATATGAAAGAAACCCAGCTGGCAGTCAATTGTATATGCATACGCTCCGTAGATCTAACGCTATATTTTTTCAAATTCTTTATTCGTCTACCCTACATACAGTTATTTACTTTGTACGTCTTTCTTATTTTTTTAAGAACTCTTGAGCCCACTAATTTTTTATTAGCCTTAACGCTTTTCATATATATATATATATAATGGGAGCGGACCTTATATTGAGATAATGTGTAGCAACACTTTCAGTCGTATGTCGCCAATTGTGTTCCGTGCAGCTTCACAAGGATTAAAATAGGAGTTTGTGTAAGTCGTGCTGTCCAGATAGTATACAAGACAAAGTAAGTGTACTTGATTTTTAGCTCTGTATTAATATATTGAAGGGTTTTATAGGGCTAATTTACATTTAACTTGATCTAACATATCCTTAGAAGAACTAGGTATCGAGTACACCAAAAGCTTGTCTAGTGTCTTGGGGTCGTCTAGAAATCTATGTTTCACATTTTCTAAATGGTGGTCTATTCTACATAACAGAAACACTGTTTAATAATTGTTGATGAACGTTAAACCTACAATGCTGTATTTTGAATGATCTAGAGTAAGTTCTCGACTTCTGATTTAAATAATGGTTCGGTCTGTTTCGTATAGACTGCTATACAGGTATTTACTTAGCATGTCTAGTGGCGGAAATTTTCTCTCAACTGTTCGTTACTAGGCATACTAAACTTCTAGGTTTTCGGATGGTTGTTCACGCCCTCATGCTTTTTATAGTGGTTTCGCAGACATAGTTGCCACCTACTACATGCTGTTTGCTTGCTACATGCCTTGATGAGATGACATCTCTCTTAAAATCATTGATGATACTCCCATCAAGATCTAATCTTTTTCCAGAGTTATCATTTTAGTATATGACAATACGATTCAGGTTTGGTTCATTTTTCCGGGTTTCTGGCGTTGTAGGCTTTGACGAGCAACGCTTGCTCTTCCGTCCTTGACAATAGGTCCTGTCTTGATGAACAATTAAGTTTCTAAAGTAGTTGCTGTTTTTTGTAGTGCCCCTGATATTGAGGAACAGTGTTGTCAACGAACATTCTAAAGTAAAAGAGTATTGAACAACATGATTTTGTAGATTTCATATGGAGTCGTATGTATTCATCATTATTTCAGCCTTCCATGTGTGGTTTATATCAGGGTTACAGTGATTAACCAGCTAGTATGTTTACGGAATTAACTCATTTACTTTGTTTAGGGCACTATCTACATTGGCTTTGTCTTCCAAGTGTATTTTGATTTGTAAAGGGCTACTTTATATTCCACGCATGAAGTCAGAAGCTTTACCAAGTTGGAGTCTGGATTTTATTGTCGGTTTGTTTGACAGCTGTGCATATTTTATCATAGTCTGATGATGCCTGTTCATAAACTACACTTTATTAAGTGATGCTACCTGAACTGTTGACTTTAGACCGCTTAGATACATTAAATGTCATTTTTCCAACTATTAATGTATATTTTATTTCAGTAGTCAGTCAGAAAATCTGAATGATGAAGATTATGGTAGATGAAGGACACCCACCTTTCAGATATGAGAACTAACTTTATAAATTGTAGTTATGAAAACTACTAGATATATATAAAAAATTGCCAAATATTTCTAGCATCTGAAATGCAACAAAGCTTTCAAACGTTCCTTTAAGTATAAAGGCTAGTCATTATGAGTATAAAAACGCTAACAACCGGCATAAAAGAGAGTAAAGGCGGTCTGGAGCTAACTCCTAGCCTTGCTTCCTCACTGTGTTTTATTCTATATTACAATATGTACTATAGTTTTATATATTTTATTTGATCACTGCTTATCTATTTTTAGTTGCTGCGTTTGATAGTCAAGCGGAAAAAAATGATTACTGTGAAATTACTACGATTCGGAGCTATAACATTTTTGTGCTAAACGCGAGCCTTTCTCGTTTCATCACGAGATAACTCAGAAGAACAGTTTGAATCTACAGATCGTATTCTGAGGATCATCAAATCACTCAGCACTGAAGTTTATTCTATCAAATAAAAGCTTCAATCAACACAAGAAGAAACTCCAAACCTTCTTAGTATTATTCCTCGTTTTCTCACCCTAGTAAAAATCACTATGATCTCATTACTTATTCATGTTCAAAAACCACCCTGAGCTGAATAAAACAGGGCCGCACTTACAGTCCACTGCACTTAGCATCACTGTTACAAATCAGATCACCGATTCAGGACCATCTGTAGTGGGAAAAGTTAAAGCTGGTTAAATGGATTAGGTCTAAGTACTATCTGACAGTCAAAAATCCCGTAAACATCTACCTATATTTTCTCTTGTAAGCCTAGCAACGTTTGGCGTCCAATCGGTGGTTATTAACGATTTCAGAAGAACGCCATATTTGATCATTTCCCGTTTCTGTAAACCGATAACTTGACTGTTACCCTGAAAAGTGCAACAGTTTTATCAAAAACTGACTTGGCTAAAATGTGTGGCCAAGCCTGTACGACTGCAGAAGATATTTCTGAAACAGGTATTATAACTCCCTTCAAATAACGAATTTCTGTCTATTCTGTGCGGCCTAGGAAATACCGCTTAAACTTTCATGATAAATGATTGATAATTCTTTAAAAGTTTAAACTTTGTTCCTGCTTATTTAGATGACTGTCTAATCGCAAGTCCTGACAGGAAATTTCGTGTCCAACATCTAGATTCTGCTTTACGATGACTCCGAAATATGACATACAGAAATATCAAACTGGAACCGATTCCCTCGACTTTCACCACATTGAAGGTCAAGGTATTTTCCTTCTAGAAAATAAAGCAGTGGTCATTCTGGATTGCCCGTAACCGACTAATCAGTTTGAAATTTTATCACAAAGTGGCTTTTATAATGATAAGAAAATACGGCTTAACCAATAGAATGAATGAATTTTCCTCAAAATTTTACATCTTTGATTTGAAAATTCGTCGATGATCTACAGTCATGTCACCTTGTAAAGATCTGGGTATCTATCACAGCTTTAATGTTATATATGTTTCATCTCAGTCACTGTTGCTTTTCACATTCGTTGGTCCAAAGATTTTCATTAATCAACACGGAGACAGGAATCACCTATACAAAAATTACTTCGTTTAATTCACTCATTTAAAGATGTCACGGATATCAGTGACTGGTAGAACCTCTATCAGCAGCACATTTGTAATTGAGGACCACAAACATGTTAGAAGTCAGGTTTTTATCTACCGTTACACATGTTCCAGACAGACATCCCTCCATTTTAGAAATGAAAATGTGTTTTAGGTTTCCGGAAACAGAAGTTTAAAGATGTTCGTTTAGAGAAGTTATTAATTACTTTGGGTGGGTGCCTGTAAAATACTTACTTAATCCTAGTCTCAGAAAAAACCTTAGGGCAAGTACTACGAAAGTGGAGGCCCAACATTGTTAAATGAACAACAGGCACACTTTTTACTCTAGACGAGTAGTCAGATTCTGGGATTCGCTACCGAATATGATGATAAAAGTGACTTCTCTAGAGTCTTGAAGAATAAACGTGACATTTTCTGTATGATT